AGCTCATTGAAAACGTCTGCCTGGAAAAGGTGTAAATATTGATAAAAATGATAAAATAATGATAGTCGCTAATGGAGCATCGAGTAATTGATAAAAGTTTTTGCGGTTAAACCAGATTGAGAGTTTGGCCATTTCACCCTGAAAAGGGAATCACAATTTATCAATTCAAACAATGTTCTTGAAACACTTTTTTTCTCGCCATTCCCACCAACTTGAGATAACCTGTTTCTTTGGTTCTTTTTATTTCTTTACTCTCATCATTATTCTCATTATTCCTCTTCTTTTATCCTTCAAAATTTCATTCTCTTCTTGTCCCTTTCAAAGCCTCTCATGATTCAAGAGCATTCAAGATTTGAGTGTTAAAATAAAAGATGAGAATAGGTTATGAGAGAAGCAAAAAAAAGAAGAAGAAGCCTCAAGAAAAAAAGGTGAAAAGAATCGTTAGGTGATTTCACATGCACATTTTCACTCCCAGTAGTTGGGAGTGTGATGAGAGAAGCTGAAAAGTGGATGAAAAGATAAATAATAAAGACGTAAATAGATGATGATGAGGTGGAATTGTTTTTGGCAGGAATCCAATTAAACCGTTGATCATCGTAAACATCGTCATAAATATCATTATCATTATCATTGTCTTTAAGCAACTAACGAATAGAGCTTTTATCCCAAAGCCATCAAAAATGGCAAAAATTTTGTTCAAAGAATTTGTCAATTTTCTGAAATAAAAATTTACTAAATCAGTAAATCATTGAAACTGTCTTATTGAAATGCAATGGATTAAAAGAAAATTGCAAAATATTCATTTTTCTGGTCTTAACCTAAATCTAACCAAAAGACTGGTTCAGCTTGTTGCTTGTCTCGACAGATTTAACTGAATCTTATTTGTCTTGATGTTTATTTTTAATCAACATTTTCATTTCATAATCATTACAACATTCTTGATTCAGTTCAATTCAGGTGAGCTTATGCGATCTCAAGGTATTAAAGTTGGAATGTTATGAAAATTTAATTTGATTTGAAAATTTTTTGCTTGATAATTATCATGCTTCTAAAGGGTGAAGTTGAAAATGAATTTCAGATTTGGAATCAAAGAGCAAAAATTTTGATTAAATTTCATCAATAAGCCAATTTGTCCAACCTTGTGCTTTGAATTTCATTGCAAGGGAAAGAGATTTGGAAAAGTTTCATGGTGAAAATGATGTTAATGATGTCGATGATCAACTTGACAACAGCCTATTAAGAGCTGTTAACAACTCTAAATGTATCTTAATTGATGGTTTTAATTAACCATTTACATCCTTAAGATGAAAAAATGTCTTTCACTTGATATTGTAAAAGGTAAAGTCCAGAGTAAAAGCCTTTTCTTTTCATTGGCCATTTCATTTTATTATCATTTCTCACATTATTATTGTTATTTTTATGATCACTTTTACAGTTAATTTCAGTGATTTTGACACATTACACTTTAATGGACACTTCGGACATTTGCAGGGAAAAGACAAGTTAAATGTAAAGAAATAAAATGCTCAAAACAAAAGCAACAATTGAAAGTTAAATATTAACCAGCAATTAATGTTGCACCCAAAGTGTTACCAGGAAAAGGTTGAAATTTGGTCCTTTTTTACCTTCTTTTGTACAGTAAATTGTCTTTTAATTTTGACTGTTCAACATTTTTATTAATAATCAAAGAGACTAATGATTGTTGTTGGTAAAGTAATTGGCAAATTATGACCTTTAATCGTGTAAAATTAGACAAAAGGTTGAAGGAATAAAAAAAGCTGGTCAAATGAATGGTTCAATCTTGACTGTTGTTTCATCTTTCAGCAAACAATAGACTCTTGAAGATGAAAACTAATTACACATCATATTCATCAGAATAAGGTTCATGAACAATAAACTCATTTAAATTGTCTTTTTCTTCCTTTTTTGTCTCTTCTTTTCTGGTATTTCTTTTCTTTACCATCTTTGAATATCAAACAAGACTATTATGTTGATCAGCATTCTAATGATACTAGTGATGTTGATGAAAATATAAAGATGATTCCTGATGGACTTGACTTGGCTTCTCTTGTGTATGCGTTCAACTCCAAGTATTCAATTATTGTTTCCAAATACATCTGTTAAACCTTTTAACCAGATATTATTGAATAATTTGCCCTTGATAATCCATCAATCCATGGATCCATGTGATTGAAAACTGATTAATCACTAGTGTTTCCATCAAAATTACTTTCCACTCGCTTAACCTTTTTAGTTGGTGAAAAAAGTGTTGAGCTATTTTTTTGCCAGTCTTGTCACCATTCTTGTACCTCTTGCACCTCTTAATACAAATTGGCAGGTTTGCAAATGACTTTGATATTTAATGACAAGCTGTTACTATATAACATCAACATTGTTCAATAACCTTAATCTGTAATCAATTTGATTACTCCAAATATGTTTAATAACACAATTTTACTTTCATTTTTACTCCAATTCTGCCTCTTATAAACCTTGTTAAATATACTCAAGGATAACTTGATTGGTTTTATGAGCAAATGAATGAGATGTTTTTTTGGTCAATATCTTTTGTTTTTGTCCCTTTTTTACGATAAAGCTTTCAGCTTTTCCCAATCTTAACCCATTTTTTTAGCCTTTTCAACAGAAAAGGAAATCTTTTTTCTCGAAAACTATTTCTTCTTCAGGGAAAATGAAATTACAGGATAAGAAATATGAGTTTAAAACACTCATGTTCAGATGAAATTGTATGGAAATTGCTTTTGATATGAAATTTTCCTTCCAAAGGCTTATTGAGTCTAAGCAACTAATTAGGAAACAAATTATTTAACTTATTTACTCAATTTTGGGTAATCTTAAGACTTTCATTCTTTTTAAGGTGAAAATGGGTTATTCAGGTAAAACTAATTTACATGAATAAATGATTGTTGTGGGTTGGGTTGAATTGATTATAATTTAATAATTTATTTTATTTATGTTGCACTGTTTGACATTTTTAAAATGCGCGCTTTTTAATGATGAATTATTTTCCAATTGTTAAAGGTCAGCTGATTTCAAATTATTTTTCAATGCCAATTTACAGTTTACCTTTTGAATTGTGTTCATCTTGTAATCTTATTAGCTTGTTAATACATAAATGTCATCAACAAAAGGCAAAAGCAAACAAAGGTAAAACCAAATTATTCTTCATGAAATAAACTTTCTCTCTCATCTTTCCTGTCAGATTTAGTTTCCAGCAAATAATATTTTTGCTGTTACAAAATTCAGACAATAGATGTTGAATAAAAATAAAACTCCCAGTTGATCTATTCATTGGTTTTCCTTCAACGTATTCTTCTTCATCTTTCTTTTTGTTTTTGGTGGTTCCACTCTTCATAACCTGTTAACTTTTTTGCTCTTTTTCAACATGAAATTTTGATAAGCTTGGATCATTCGTTTTGCTGTTTATATCATGTAAAGGAAGAAGGAAAGGTTCCCTTTGGCCAGTATTTAAGTGGAAAGAAAAGAAATGCAATCGAAGGGTAAAAATGGAAATATGATTACATGGAGAAATCAGAACAGTCCGTGACTTTATCTTTTACCATTGAACACGTTTCAATATGGAGCTACTAGGAGCAGTTTACATCATAATTCAGGATCCATCGAAAGAAATATGTTGATAGCCTTTTGAATTAACTCGTCTACCCATTTACCAGTAAATAGACCAGGAATAAATGTACATCTCAAGTGAGAAGGCAAATGGCGAAGTGATCAATTATTTATTAAATTTGATTATTTAACCATCCAAGTACTTACCTAAATGTTGATTAACACTGGTTAAGTACGGCCAAGAGAGGGAATAAAAAGGTTTCTCCATCATTGTGACAATTTATATTGAAATTCATTTCTGGATAACATTTATTTTTAAATGTGTTTGCTTAATTTTTTGCTGCATTTTTCATTGTAAAACTTGTAAACAACCTTTTTCTTTGTACTTTTTACGTTCCCTTTTGTTTACCAATGACATTAATTAATTAGTTTAATTAACTTTTGTACAACTTTGTCGAGTGTTTTCCTCTTTTTTTTCATGTTTAATTGTTTTGTCTTGTGAATTATGGTAATGGGACTGTTACGATTGCGTTTGTTGTTCAACTTTATTTGCCTGTTAATACAAGAGATGCTTTTAACCACTATAATATTGTACTGAGTCAAAATGAAAGATATAATTAATGATGCTTATTTCTGTTTGTTATTGTAATCAAGATGAAGTTCAGGATGAAAATAAGAATCATTTTCTTCCTCATCACCATCTTGGTCTTGAAGTGAAACAAACATAACCAAATCTTCATTGCAATGATTAATGTTGACTTCATAAATGGTGATAAATAGACTGGTAATGATAAGATTAGTGGAAATCGTAAAAGTTTGGTAATTGTGATTTAATTATACAAATGTTTGTGATTGTTTTTCGCGATCAAAGGATTGATATAAATGGAAAAAATGCAATAAAACAGATTTTCCAGGGAATTTGGTTTTGTTTGCAATTTTTTTGGGTTCGGTTTATGTTGATATGTATAATAAATTTACATAAGACTTTAATTTACTCTTCTGGTGTTGGTGGTGTTGATGTATTTTGTGTTGAATGTTGAATGGGTTCTTCCAATGATCGGCATTGTGATTTATTTGAAAAACCATTTTAAAGGTTTTATCATGGGAACCTTGTGTTTTTGCTGTGAGTCCAAAAGTGAAAAGTGATTAAAGAGTTGAGTATCAACAGTCACAGTCAGCCCGATTTAGCAATTGTAACATCAATAAATTACTTTGATTATTTCCATTAAAAGCTGGTTCTTCAAACATTTACATTGAACCTTTATCAACCCAAATGGGATATGGCACTATGAGCTTTGGTGATTGATTGCTTTTGCTTTTGACCTAGTCATATCATGAGTAAACTCATATTCATGGTAACTTGTCTTTACTTTTTTGCTCATTATTTATCCTTGTTTCCTTGTTTATCCGTTTAGTTATGTTGCCATCATTTACCCATTGAAACCTCGAATGTCCAAAAAAACAACCGTATTCATTACTTTAGCAATTTGGATAATTGGAAGTATATTATCTTTGCCCAATATACTTTACTCCACAACCAAACGAGAATATTTTCTTAATGGCGATTATCGTGATATTTGTTTCCTTGATTGGCCTGATGGACCCGCTACATCAAGTAAATTTGATTATATGTAAGTTATCCTGAATTGTCTTTCTACTTTATCATGATGTTAGGATGTTGATTCAACCTATTAAGAAATAAATTAAAAAACATTAGTATATGTTCATTGTATTTGGCGCTTTAATATTGTTGACAAGACTTGAATTGTGAGTTTAACTTACCTACAAATAGCTTAAAGAAGTAACAATTGCACATTGCACTGTTGGCCACATTGTCAGCCAGTAAGATTGTAGATTCGACATGAAATATTTTGATCCAATGTGATTGATGTCTCGGCCATTTTCATTAAATTAATAACACGATCTTTTCTGTCTTGTTTTGCTTTGCGTTTACCAGTTACAATGTGATAATATTGTTGGTTACTTACATGGTTCCAATATGTTCAATGTGCTTTACTTATTCTCGAGTTGGCCTGGAGCTTTGGGGAAGTAAAGGTATTGGTGAATACACAGAGAAACAGGTTGAATCAATGAAATCAAAAAGAAAGGTAACTACACAATTTAAACATTAATCAAACTTAAAATTGAAGAGATAACTTATTTACAAGGGAAAGCTTACTGGTTAACCTAACGTTGAAAACAAATGGTCGTAGGCTTGTACAAAAGGTTAATCATTCGGATAAATCAAAACAAGCAAGTTCAAAAGTCAAGCCATTCGTTTATTTCTTCCAATAATTCATAAATCAACTTTTAATCATCATCTGATTCTTTGAGCTTCAATAAACTATCATTGATAACAAACATCCATTAATCAAATTTGTTAATTGAAGCTTTCCCTCCAAATCCTAATCTTTTGCACGACACTTTTGCCATCTGTTGGCACAAATAGCAACGATCCATCTAATTCTTTCTCTTCACTCATTGTTTATTTTTTGTTAATTTTTTTTATGATTTGTTGTTTAATCTCTCAATTTAGATTGTTAAAATGATGATTGTTGTCTTCGTTATTTTTGCTGTTTGCTGGTTACCATATCATGGATATTTTTTGCTCACTCACCATTTTCCTGAGATGATGGAAGCCGATTATGTTCAACAGATTTATTTAATTATCTATTGGCTGGCAATGTCCAATTCCATGTATAATCCAATAATTTATTGTTGGATGAATTCGAGGTGAGTTTTGAAGTTTATTTCTTTCTAATTTTAGCGCAATTAAGTCATTCTAAATGTTTTCTTACCTTGGTTTCAGGTTTCGAGAAGGATTCAAAAAGATATTTTGCTGTCTATGTTATGACAATAGTGACTCTGATAACTTCCTAGAGTCTAAATTGACTCGTCGTGGTAAATCAAGCTTCTCGGAAGCTTGTATCACAGAAACTAAGATAAGGTTGAATGGTAATGGTCATGGGACAGCTTTGATGATGGATGAAACAATTAAACAAGCAGAGTATAGATTGTAAATAGTGATCTCTGTAAATACTCATTCACTATTATTAATAATGTTGATTAATGTTATGAAAACCAAATAATATATAAAGTAAATCACTTTGTGTAATTGTTAATATTTCTTGCCATTCAAAGTTGTGTTTTATGATACGTACATGGATCTATTGTATAGAGACCTAAAAACTGTTCAAGGAGACGACAAAAGCACCACGACTCGAGTCAATTGTAAATACTTACAAGTGTTTTTAATACAAATAAAATTATTAATCATTTGTTTTCATGCCATTTCTTAAATATCTTGATCAAGGTTAAGATTGTTATCATTCAATGAAATGTTTTCATCTTGCATTGCTAGCCTCAAGTAAAATCATCATTTTAATAATCTTATTTACGATTGTGCTGGTGAGTAATTGTAAGAAAAATAAAGAAGACAATTCTCGAATAATGACTAACATTCAGTCGGATTTTAGATAATAAATTCACTGAAAGATGAGAATGTTTGTAAAAAACAATAAAAATGGCTTGAAATTGAATTCAATATCTTGAACACCATAGCTTGTACTCCATGGATTAATTGGCGACATTCAAGGCTTCAATTCAACCAAACTGCTCATTATTTCATCCAAAAATATAAATTGTATCATTTTGAAAGAAACAATTAGTCGGTCGAAACATGAAATTTCAGATTTAATGATTTGTTTGAGGTTATCAATGTTGATTACCATTGTTTTTTAGATTCTCAAAGGAAGAAGTATTCATTTTACAAAAAGTAATCTTTTGACCTGCATCTGTAAGTTATGATTAAAGCTAATTAATTGTTAAAATTTGATAAAAACAGTTATTTATGCGTCAATTAAAGTTGCTTCTAGTATTTTATTTGTACGCTAGATGGCAGAATATACCCGTTTGTTGACAAATTCCGGCGGAAAATTAACTTGAGCTGCTAATAGGCAATGTTTACTAGTGTTATCTTGTTTATAATTTGATTGAATGACTAATTAGTATTGTATCATTTAGTTACAATGTGAATATTAAATTTCTCTTAATGAACAGAAGGAATTTTCAATATCGTGTTCCATAACAAAGATGCTATTATTTGATGAAACATGCAACAATTTTACTCAATGAAAGTTTATCAAGATGGTGCGTTTTGAGACAGTAAATCATTAACAAATTATCTTGGATAATAAACATTCTTTTCCAAATATTTTATCATGATGCAAACAGGTATGTAATACGTTCTTTGTCATTTTAAATACAGGGTTTAGTAGCATGTTTACTCTCTTGTCAAGTCAAATTTTCACGTTTGGTTTGATATCTTGCAGTTTCTCGATTAAAATTTCACGTGTTAATCGAGAAGAAGCGATATATGACACATAAATTCTGTATTTATTTCACTGACTGCGTCCTGATGCATTATTGAATTTATTTTGTTTTTTGCTCGCCATCCTTTAGCTACTCAATTTGAATGACATCTGGAGAAGTCGGACTGCTTACAATGGAACCTGCATTAAACGAAGCGATGCCAATGAAATAAGTGACTACCGCAGTTATCAAAGTTCCAGTTATAGATGGACAGACTAACATTTTACCAAAAATTGTGATCCCAAAACTCTGGTGGTAGATTCGTTGCAGAAATAGCTCTGACTTGATATGGTAATCCAAAACGGATGTATTTTATAAATGGAGACAGGAAAGAAAAGAAGAAACATTGATTAAGCTTTAATCTATCATCTATAGTCTTGTACCTCAATTATTAATGATGGATCCTTGGTAGAAAGGCTGACATTTAAGATAGACATTCTTGGTTTAGTCGTATAAGCTGGAATCATTGAAATGCTTCGAGTGATAACAAGTAATCGGAGTGCTTGAAAAAAAAGCTCGGTTATGTGGTAGACAAGGTACGAAGAGCTGGTGTAGATTAGATCATAAACTAAAGTGACACATTTGGGAATCACAAGAAGATAAAAGGCGCCCACAAAAATAGAATGGGTTTGATTCACCAACTCGATCAAGCGACCAATTTTCTCATAATTATTTCTTATGTATATCATCTGGTCAACCCGGTCTGAATCTTGTAACATTGTTAACCTTATTCGGCTCAATCTTTTTGTTTGACGGGATAAGCTGTTGTATGCGCTGTTGATAAAAGCTGAACAAGTACCTAAATGGTCAACCAACGTAATGTAGTAAAATGCAGCTATGAATAATAGGATTCGTCTCCCATATTGCGCTATCTTTACCCAGTAAACCTTTGCTTCTGGAGCAAATATACCAAGCGCAATAATAAGCCAAAACTGCCCCAAACTAAAGATTATCACATCTTTCCGTTGTTGACGTCTAATTTGCTTAATATCATGTCTCACCTGATTTTCACCAGAAAGCATCAAATCTTTCCAAATCTCATCAAATTTCGCAGAAAAAGTTACCGGGTTGTAAAAAAATTGATCGTAATATGTAGCCAAGTCACCTGATGCCGTTAAGCACGTAAAAAAGATTGCGTTATTTATCTCATTGATGATGGAACCTGTCATATATATTCTGGAAACAAGAATTGAAGTTGATGACAAAAGGACAATGCAGCCTACGACGAAACCAATGGATGCAAAAATTTTGTTAAACAACTGTAATATGGGCCAATCTTGGTAATTACGATAAACCAAATTATTTTGAACCAGATATTGTACTATCAAAGTACTCTGTTGATCTTTAAAATTCACAATTGAATGTTTAGACTCAGGAAACAAGTGAAACTCTTTCGATAATGACATTTCTAGAGAATCAACTTTCAACAAATAATCAAGATGTTTAACTGTCAACTAACCATAAACTGAACTGATTAAAGCTAAACAAAAACTATAGCAACATAATGTCACAATTGAATGGACATACACAAATAGACAATATTTAAACAATAAGTTGTTTATTCTGCAATCACTGGATTTATTGGTTAAACCTATGGTTTGACAATCAATATAAATAAGGCGTAAATCTCAACAATTTCAGTATCAAGTAAGGTCAAATATTTCGCAGGAGTCCAAAAAAAGGTTTAGTAAACATTTCCCTTAATCATCATCCTTAATATTAACCATTAACCCAAATTGAGATGAATCATGTAAAAGAAAATACAAGTTGAAATAACTTTCCGCGAAAGGAAGGATAGCTTTAGATTCAAGTAGAGTTACACCAATAATAATAATCATAATATGATATGATTACATGATGTACCATTATTGTTATTATGATTACTATCATCATGCTTATTGTTATTATAATAATCATAATGTCTCAAGTCTCAAAGCAAAAAATTGAGAATGATTGAAATTACAAGACAAGACTAATTCATTTTTATTGCACCTTTGTGCTAATTAATACCAATAGCAAAATATTAATTTACCATTGGACTGAATCATTAATTTGCTTTTTTTTATCTTCCAATAATTTAGATCTGGTCTAAAGATTCATGAAAAAGGATGGACAATGATAATGAAGATAACCCAAAACCATGAATGATAGACCAAAAATGACCATAAAATTGGACTAAAGTAACTTAAAATAAATGGACAAGTGAAAACAATTTCAACCCATCTCTAGACTCATTAGCCTAATTTCATGTAGAGAGAAACATTTGGTTGTCTCATGATACCCAAAAAGAGATACCCAAAACCATTTCTGTCAAGACTTGACCCCCTAAACCTCTCACTCTCCCTATCATCCTCCCGTCTCTTCACTTCTCTTCCCTTTGGTTCCTCCTTTTTCACATATTTACAATTTAGATGATGAGTATCTTTTTAACCTTCTCTTGGCCTCTTTCAATACTTAAGTGAGTCGTAATTGCTTTTCACTTGATAATGATAATGATTGTGATGATAATAACCATTTCAACTGATGATAACAACACCACACAAGACAACACAAACGCTGATTGAACATACAATGTGTTAACCCATATTACAATGCGAAATATATTTCATTTCGCCTTTTTTATTTCATCTATTTCATTCAAACCCATCATCTCAATCATTATCATCATTACCTTTATCATCATCATTACCAACTCTCTAGACTCTCCCTCAATATGTTTAGCTTGCTTATGTAAAAATGCCTAAAAATCGCTTAATTTGATTTCAAATTTTTACCAGATTTTTAATTTCCATCAAAGCAGCGAAATTAAATTTCCTTAAAACAAATGAAGAAACGCTCATTGTAATAATGTTGACCAGATTGTTATGCCAACCAAAATAACTTGATATTACAATGTTGAATCTCAATTGATGCTTTGATTGATTGATGACAGGTAAATATGTTGACAAAGATTAGGCCTTTGGGTTTAGGGAAGTTTAACTTTGTTACCAGAATAAACTGTTAACAATGAGATATTAATACAATTTGAAACAGATCATTGACATTTAGATTGTCAATTGCCTCACCCATGTGTCTATGTAATTAACTGTCTATGCAATTGTCTGACTCACTTTCGCTAATATCTTTCTTTTGTTTTGTTTTGTTTCTCTCTCTAGTTCCAAATGATTATTCCAATCGAAGTCCGTGACCTTTAATGACAGTCAAACACGAACAAAGACTTGAACTCGCTTGGTTGATTCATGAAATCAATATTTTTCTGCCTTTCTCCTCAGTCTGTCTTCCTCTCTCTCTCTCTCTGTAAATCGTCACTTCAACATTCATCATTTGTGGTCTCTGTTATCATCATTATCATCAACATTATTATTTATATTATTGCCATCCTTCTCATCATCATTACTATTGCTATTATCATTAGCAACGGTATTAAAAGCCTAACTACGGACACTCGAAGATATCATTTTTTCACTTTATGTTTATCATCATAACTACCCTTTTTTTAATCATGTTTAACCCATAATTTTATACTTTCATCTCAACTCAAATTTCCTTCTCAGTGACAACTTTTTTTTTATTACAATTGCTATTTCAATATATAAACATAATACTTGTATATATATCATTGTAAAATTCAGACCTCTCTGTTATTGTATTACAAGTAATTTGTCTTTGTACTTTATTTTATCATTACTTTTGTCATTTCTTTACAATCTAATATTTACTATGTTAGTCTGTTTACTGTTAATATTGTACAAATAAAAACATTTAACATTGAGTTGAAAAGGAAAAGCAATTTACTGATTGTTTACAGTTGAACCTGAATCTCAATGATTAGCTTTGAAAAAAGAGTAGCTATGACAAGAAATTTGCCAACCTGGTTGAAATTGTTTCAAACACAAAATCAAATCAATGATTGATCTATCAGATTCAAATTCATTCAATTTGAGTTTCATTTTTCATAAACTGTAATATAAATAATTCTCAACCTTGAATAGTCTTGATTAATTGTGAATTACCTTTTCAAGTTTAACCTTGTTTACCGTAAATTAACCATCTTTACAAGCTGTATACATGATAATAGATGGTTAAGTTTCACCATTATGCATTGAATTACACCATTTGTTACCAGATTTCAATGAATCAATGGAAATTAAATATCATTATTCAGATTATCTAATTCCATTGGAATTCAAAAAACGTAACCTTTTAACTCTATTAAACTGTTAATGATTCAACCCAAAAATCATTCAGGCCTTTGTAAACAGCTAATGTTACAATAGCAATAAAGCTTTACAATTGTTTACATGTTTAATCCATTTTCAAATTGTACAATGAATTATATTTCACTTAAACATTAACAATCATAATTAATGAGTAAATCATCTTAAAAAAAGATGCTTACAACTGATAAACAGCAATTATGGTTAATAATGAAAATTGCTTTCCATTTGGTAAACAATCTCACATATTTCAACCCATAACAGTTAACAGATGAAATATATCAACAAAATGTTTACAATTAACTGTTCAAATAAATCATAAGAGTTGATTGTAAACCAAATGCTCAATACCTTTAAAATGTAATCAAAGGAAAACAAAGCTTAATCGCTGTTAACCAGCTAAAAATGGGTTTCAGAGGAAAAAATTGTGAACAATTTAAAATTTGGCAAACGACTTTAATTGGAACCATCAGAGAGTCTAGAGTAATTGAAATTTAATATTCAACTGTTAACAATGTTTAAGATGATTGTATAATTGATTGTTATCATTGTGAATTTCAATTGATGTTTTGTTTTTTTTCTGGTCTCTTCTCCGTCATTAATAACAATTCATTTCTCTTCTCCTAATTTAATCAAATATAATCGGAATAATTTAGGTTTGTCCTCTTCAATATGCACTGTAATTGACTTTTTGGCCCAAGAAAAGTTCAATTGCACACAATTGTCGCTCATTTTGTATCAATTTATTTTTATTATTACAATAAGCTACTTGGACTAATAAAAAATAATGGTCTTTGTAATAATAATTGGCAATAGTTGAGCTTCGCAATGGAACCAGTTCAATGTATTTTTTTAGCTAATTTTGAGGCTCTTTGGTTAAATTGTCTGCTATCTAAATGATCAGATTAATATATAAATAGATTGTATTATTTAAATTATTGGGATTAAAATTATATTTACTTTTTTTCTCCTCATTTTGCTTCGTTTTTTCTTCACTTGTTCCAGCATTTCATGTCTTTTAAGCTTCTTCTGGTTTATCCTTGTTTTTGTAAATCAATTGATAGCTTCTTGGTAAGTTGAGTCAGTTTATATTTGGCAATTGCTACAATCAAGTGTTATCTCTTAAATTGTCTCATTTGAATTGAAAATTAATAGATATTACATTGAAATGAGTCAATTTGTGTTACTTATTGCAATCCACCAATAAACTGTAACCACATTAACTAGTCCAAGTGTTATTATTTACTTTGCTTGTGATGAAGGGATACTTGATTGCTTGATGTTTCAAAGTAGTTGATTAATTGACTTGAATACAAATTACTCATTTTCTCATTCATTTGATTGTCTTTAAATCTTTTCATGATTTGTTTCTCATTTTATTGAGTTGTTTGTCAAGAGTTAAGTCTTTTGGACTTTTACTGATATTGCATGTTATTTTTTGTACAATTGATTTCAAAGTTAACATTTAAGTAATTCCCGTTCTTTTATTTGAATATTAGATCAACAATAGAAAAAATTATAGTCTAAAGCATTTCTTTTTGTATAAAATATAAATAAATTACAGTAAGAAACAAGTGTTTGTTTTGAGACCAGAATTGTAATCTCAATTGTAGTCTGTAAGATTTGTATTAGATTGGAGCATTTTAAAGAACAAGCTCTTAATTGTTGTTGTATTTCATTGTTGCAGCTGTAATATATCTTGAAAAAGGTGAAAATAAACTGACAAGGTCTTGAGCTTGAGTAGTGAATCAATCGGATTTGTGGATCGGACTAGCAATCAGGAGTATACTGGTAGACCATAATCAAATCTAGTAAATTATTGCATCTGTGCTCGAATCCAATGAACATAATGGGAAACTTTTGTGTAAACTCCTGGTGACCGTCGACGACCACAACCTCTTCCATAAGAGACTATCCCAACTAGAACGGATTTATTGTCTACCTCTTTGATTAATGGACCTCCAGAATCACCCTGGAAACAGAGAGAAAGAGGAAAAAGAAAGAGAAGAGAATTTAATTAGAGTTCCATTAAAACTGTTCAACCAGGAAATACTAAAAGATAACGATGAAAATCTAGCCAATAATTTGAACAATGTTGAGTCAAATGATTTAGTAAGTTTATCATCCATTCAATTATATGATTAAACGTTACTCATTTACCTGGCATGAATCACGGCCACCTTCCTCAATTCCAGCACATATTTGTTTACCTGATTTAAACCTGTCTGAATAATATTCTCTGCATTTTCCATCATTTAAAATGTCAACATCTGCGGCTAAAAGAGTCTCAGATGTATCAAAACCACCCTCAGAGGTTCGACCCCATCCAGCAATGGTTCCTTTACCATTGAAATTTGTATCTTTTTCACGGGGCAAGCAAATGCTGTTGATGGATGATGTGGACGGATAAAGGGGTAAATCAGATTTGCTATGTAATAATGCAATATCATTCTCAAATGTGTCTGATCGATAGCTTTGATGAGAAACCATTTTGTCAAATTGTATCTCTTGAAGTGAAGAGTCTTCCAGGTAGTTGGATCCAACCAAACCACGAATTGAATTAAGATCACGAAGTCTGGAATGATCAATTAAAATTAATTACAGGTTAATAATAGAATAGATCAATCAGTTGTTCTCTAAATTGGGTTCAAACTGGTGCAAGCTTGAGTGAGACATTTTTTTTCTTGTTGTGTGTAAATTGATTTCTGTATACTAATATGATTTGTTGATGAAAAATTGAAATTTTGAATTGTTACATGCAAAGCGATAGTCATTGAAAGTTAATCAAAGAAATCAAGAACAAGGGTCATTATTTAGTTAGATTTGGTTAAATAAAAAAACGCTGACAAGATAATTCATTAATAAATGAGGTAACAAATAGTTGAATAACATTGATAAGATTTATTCAACACTAGTCAGAATAAGATTTATCATGAATCAACAGAATCAAAGCAACAGTAATCAGGATTAAAAAAATTTGATGAAGAAATCTCAGGTAATAATGAAAGTCATTTAGTGTCACCAATTGTTGAAATCAAGCTTCAAGGTTTAAAATAACAAAACAAGCCCAGGAAAAAATATCGATATAAATTTAAAGATTGATGGGTTCGAATTGAATTATTGACTAGTTCTATGAAAAGCTAAATTATGAATAAAATAATTTTTAAAAAATGGATTCATGCCAAGCATGCAGGACATTGAATTATTATCAATTTGATCATTTCATTTGTTAATCACTTTGTGAAACAAATTATCATGTGAATCTGAAAAATTAAATGATCTTACCCTTTAATGAAGGTGGAAAGAGTTCATTGTTTTGTATTTTTTTCAAAAGATATAAAGTTAGCATGAAATGCTATTGAACTTTTCAATGACAATTGATTATTGATTAGTATTTACATATAGTCTATCTCAATCGTGATGATGAATATCATTAAACAGTTATGTTAACTTACTTGACAACACAATGAGCTGCTGTGATAATCCACCTTTTACCAATAATTGCACCTCCACAGAAAACTCCCTGAGAACGGTCTTTCAATGCAACCTGCCAGGGAAACTCATTTGATTCCGTGTCTCGGCCTCCAATAATACGATCTTTAATATCACCTCGGCGGACTCCACAGTTGCCTTCATTCTGAGAGCCTGGGTTTCGATTAGGTTTCCTTGTTGTACTTTGTTGATGGTAACCCGATGAAGGTCTATGGACATTTGGTCTTCGGGTGGGTGCTTGTGTTGAATAATGAGACTCAGGTTGATAGGGTATCTGTGAAACTGAGCCACCAAGATAATCAGGTGTGTGATATGAAGATTCCGTTGTAAAGTAAATAACATTTCCATTTGGACCATATCCATGGTTATTTGGATCAACTCTGGGTCCAGAAGGATAAGAAGGTCTCATTGTTGGTCTATATCCGTTATCTGGTGGCCTGTACGGTGGATGTTCAGGCATTTCTTCTGGAGGTCTGTAAGGTGGTCTATGAGGTGGATTAACATTTTCATATTCGCCACTTTGATCACCCCGTCTATTGGGTTTAAATAAGGGTCCTAATGGTAAACGAATTGATAGTCCTAGATAAAATAGTATAAATGAAATGATAACAGTCAATAAGTATATTCACTGACTCAATCGTGCAATTCTTACCTGAATTTGGTCCGGGTTCAGGCAAACTTTCACCGATTCTCACAATCCTTGTGTTAGAGAATAGAAAAAAAAATTTTAAGTTTATTAAGAGTTGAGCTCAACAGTTTGTGAATGACAGTTTTAGAAACAATTTCACAATCATTAATGAATGCTCTTTTCCATCTCACCCTTTGATATATTTCCTGAGAAGTCCTAGAGATCGTTCAGATCGATGTTCAGTATCATCGTTAATTGGAGTTTTTTCATCAGGAAAAACTATGTCACTCGAATTGACTTCTGAAAAGGGTTAGAGAAAAAAGGGGGAATACACAATCAGTGAATGAGCCATGGCAATGATTTAAATTCATTGAAGAAAGGATTGGAAACAATATTGAAGCAGTTGACTGGTTGTTTCAGATTTCATTGAGGATTCGTATTTCATCATTCAACAGTAACTTCCTTTAAAAATTCACCAAAGGCACTTGCAGTAGCATTACTCACCCTACGGATCTAACATGGGACTTTCTTAAGAAAACAAGAGTCTTGATTCTCAAGAATTTAAAAGTAAACAGATAGCTAGTTAATTAATAATTGGATCCGTAAAGCTTTGAAAAATATGTACGTTAAGACTAGATGAGATGAATCCAGCTTTCATCAATACACACACAGATGATTAATGAAGAAATGAAGGGATATATCCATACCTTTAGCCAAGGCAAACACAAGAAAAATGGTAAAAATAGTCAATGGAAACTTTGAATAAACATTGTTGGCCATTGAATTGATTGTATATCAATTCATTAAATTAGCATATAGTACAAAACAGGAAGCAAACACACAAGACAATATCCTGGGCACAATTAATATGTTGAATCAGCGGCCGAAACAGAAGAGTTAAAAGGTCAAAAGATACCTAAAATGAAAGGCAACCACCAAAAGGCACAAAATGTATTTCCACTGTTTTTTACCAGCTCATACCAAAAGAAACCAACAATTAATTTAAGAAGTTAATGAGCAGATATTATCCATAAATGAAAATTGAAATACAAAATTCACAGCGATTTGTTGATCTTCCATCCTTCCGGTTATGAAGATATAATATAATATATTCATCCGTTTTCCCTCCAAAAGAGACTTTCTTTTTCCTGTTCTGTGTTAACTCATTTTTGTGGATCCTTTCTTTTTCTTCTAGTATCCTGTTGATTGAAACAGTTAAACGTTGATAAATCAATCTTACCCAATTAAATTAATCACAAACTAGAAAACAATAAATTTAGTATCGCTTAATAAAGACCAAATTAAAACACAAAAGTAAAACAATAGAGCCAACACTTTCTGGTAATGACCGGTCCGGGATAAAAGACAAAAAAGAGCAAAAACTGGGCAAAAAGGCAAAAGAGGGCAAAAGAGGGCAAAAGATGGCTAAACTCTCGTAATAAAGCGTCTTAGGTAGTCTAACATAAAAAATATTTAGAGTTTGATGAAAAAGTGATTTATATTTGATTATAATAACAACTGATTTTATTGAATATTTGCTATAAACCTAACCAACATCACTACCATTGAGCTTCCAGCTGATTTCAGTGGCTGACACCAAACAGAGCCTCAAGTTTAATATTCAATAATTTCATTAATTTATCCTTATTGTGATTATAATACAAATACGATATTATTCATTACTTAACTAAAAAGTGACTTTATTTTATATTTTTGTCTTCTTTTGTCTTCTTTTGCCTTCTTTTGCCCACTTTTGCCCTCTTTTGCCTTCGTTTTGCCTTTTTGTCTTTTATCCCGGACCGTAATGACCTCACCAGTCTCAATCAGCTGATTCCTTAGCCGTTTAAAAGCTAGCAAAAAGGGCGATCTTCTGTTTTTGTTTTAACAAATATCAAGCCGGTTAATGGGTTAAGAAATATTTTTCATGATAATTGTTGCTCAATTAATCTAGTTTTTTCCAGGATATTAACATTATTCCAGCCTTGAATCAATAGTTTTTACAATTCCTTGAACATGTTGTTTCAACTCCACATAGCTTCACAGCCAGTGAACCCAAAGTTGAGGTTATCTTGTGACCAGTTTTTTGCTCTTGTTTACCATTGATATTTTGTTAATTATATTTTCTTCACTAATCATTTCCTTCTCACTCTTGTTTACATCCATTACAATCTATCAAAATGGATTGTTGTTGCCCAGAAATTGTGATAATTGTTGACAAGTGATTTATTCTAGGATTATTATCCAACTTATCTTTGCAATGATTTTTTTCAGAAGATATTCTTTTGTTTAAAGTCGCCTCATTTATTTTTGGTATCAACTCGTCAAATTTTACCATATCTTCAAACTGTTCAATCCTTCATCAAAATGACATGAAAACAATCATTCGACTATTACTCTATTATCAACATTCAACGGGAATTTAATTTATGATCATCTGGATACTGTTAATTGAGTTAATAACTCGGCAAATATTTGTTAAACTCATGCATAAGATTGTTGCTAAGAAAACACTCAAATTGGCTGGTAAAGTGCTATTGTAAAGACCAGATTTCCCTTCAACCACACATACTAACCGCCTGTCTTACCAATTAGATAGCAAATTTGATTTGATATTTCAATAATATTGATGATGACAACTTGCAATTAGAATGGTTTCTGAATTTTTGTACCAAATTCCGACCTACTTGTGATACCTTTAGCTGATGCAAATTGAAACCAAGTTGATTGTATAATTTGGTAATTGTAACAATTTTGATGGTAAAATTAGTCTCTTAAAAGCTAAAGCCATTCAACTATCAAACAAAAAGTGAACTTATACCTGCACCATCAACAACCTTCAACAATCAATTGAAATTATCATGAATCATTTCACAACTGATACATTGTACAAAATACACAAAAATACAGCAACACAACAGGAGAAAGAAAAGAAGTGTTTCTAAATCAATTTACACCAAGTTTGCCTTTAATTAAAGGTATTAAACTATAATCAATCATTTACCATGGATAATATTTAATCAACCAACTAATCAAAGATCCACATCACAATTTAACATGTTTGTAATGTAAACTGTTAACTGGAGAAACAAAAAATGTACATAAACGTTGAAATTATTTAGATAAGTGAATAATAATGATTAGATGATGAACCTCACCAACTCATGATAAAGGGGAAGTTGCTCTCATTATCATCATCTCAACTCTATTCAATCATCATTATGATCATTTAAATGATTGACTTGAAACATTAGATTTTGCTCATTAACTTTACGTTTTAATTTCAAACATCAACAATGTCTTGAAAGGAAGAAAAGCTGAACCATTATAATTTTAATTTGGCCAAAATACGGATTCAATCAATTTGTTTCTCTTCAACTGGAAAGAGCTGACTGATTAACAAAAATATTAATGGTTAATATTGTGGTAAATCAAATCAAAATCATCAACGTTCAGACGATGAGCCAAAAAAGCAGTTTAAAGTCAACAGTTGATCGGGTTGAACATGATATTTATAATGAAGGCAACATTTTTCAGTTGACAACTACCAAGGATAACTCAAGATTTGCGTGTGAAACGCAAATGGAAAGCAAACAAATAAGAATCGCGAATCAACGAGTGCAAAAAGACGTCTCAAACTGCAATTTATCTGGTTAACAATTACGGTTTCGTTTAATTTGTTCAAAAGCTAAATCTATGGTTTACAATTTGTATCAATGATGAATAGATTTTCAGTTATTCAGCCAAGTTTCTTTTAATTGGTAAAATTAACAGCTTCCATTAACCAATTGTCAAAGTTGGAGAAACATGGCTTGTCTCGAATGTTCATTTAACATGGTCGCTCCTTGGTTGGTTATTATCTTACTGTTGATTAAAATTGGAGACTGATTAAGTCAATGGTTTTTCCCGTAAAGTTATGCTAAAATCACAGGATTTCAACTCTTCTTCAAGATGAGCAACTTGACTCTTAATGGCGGACTTTCAAAACGCTAATCTGGTCGGATTGAAGGCCAATTAGATTTGTATTATTCAATCGATACAGTGACAAGAATACCAATCATTTGCTTTGTATTGATAACTGTGAAGATCGGATCAGTTTGGGTTATTGGTCTTTTGATGCTTGCATGCGAATAAAGAATGATTTAATCAATCAGATTATTTGTTGCCCTTGAAATAATCAATATTTGATGATTTGTTTTTCATGTAAGATGTGACGATCAAATAATCAAAATAGATGATGAACAGCTATAATCGCAATCAAAGTAAATAAACAAGCATCTTGAAGACGGCTAGACTTTTTTTCATCACTCTGATTTGGTTTTCTTGGTTGTTTTTTCTGGTTTATTGTTTGGTTCTTTTACTGCTTTTGATTTAAGCTGATTTGATGAAAATAAGTATTAAAATGAGATTAAGCTTAAATATTAAATCACTCACTTGCTGCTGGTTAACCATTTCAACATATATCCGTGATTGTATGATTAAGCTGTGCAATCAAGCTGGACAAGCTTACCACTTTAACCTTCAACAATTGTTTATTGTCAATGTTTGTTACTGTCCAATTGTATTTTGTTGTTTGTCCAACCAATTGTAATTATTTCAATTCAATTTTGTTGGTAGTTAATCAAAATGATTGGTAATTCAGTGATTAACTGTTGATCAGTACAAAAAATGTGACTTTCAACAGCTCTCTTGTATCAAGTATTTCATAAAAAATACATGCAATAAATATTACTTGGATCTTTAATTCATATTCACCAATCATTTAACCAAATTTTTTATCAGAAATATTGAAATTTTATATTCTAATTTTACTTGAAGAACACAATTTTCTTGCATAAAGTTATAAATGCTGTAACTTACGTAGTTCACTGTTATCCTTGCGATCAAGATTGAAAGTTACACTTTTTTCACTTTCATTTGAGTCGAATCGGTGTTCCAAGCAAATGAGGATTAGCATGATCTACCAATGTCATGGTCTGAGTAAAGGCAAGAATAATAAATTGCTAAATATGGTTGGCTAAAATAATGTAAAAAGTGTTTTCCATTATGTTTAGCGTAGCATTGTCTTAATTTAAATTCATGTTAACATGAATCTTTAACTTGGCAAACTCTTTTCACTTTTAATATCTGCAAAGCACAGGTTAGTCAACAGTTAATGGTGATGAAAACACGAAGATTAATAGATGAAAATGTATCAAAAGAGAGATGAAAGGTGTGTAAATCAGAGCGAAAAGTTGAAAACCAAAGTGAAAAAAGCACAAAATTCAATACAAAAAGGTAAAGAAAGTGACAATATATAGATATGTGTATTGAACAGGATTGCAGCACAAAAAATGAAGACAAAAGTGAATCGGTGAAATGAATTAGTAAATTATAAATCATCTATGATAATAGAAAGAAAATGAAAATATAATAAGAAAGTGTTGCCAGAAAAAGAAAGTATATTTAAAGTGTTTACAAAAATAAGCATTTTCAGTTAACCAGAAACTTCCATTAACCTGGTGACAATGGCTAATCGGAAAACAAAGGGAATCAAAAGAATGACTAAAAGTTCACTTTTGCCTCCATTACTTTCGTCTGGCAAATCCCTTTCTCTTCTTTCCCTTTTAGTTAGCCCTTTATTCATCTCTTACTTTCATCGTTCGCATTAGCATTACTAACACCTTAACCATTATTCGAAGTGTCAAGCCCATCCAGGATTTTAATCAGATATAAAAATGTCCACCAAGATGACAGAGAACATCACTTTCAATCTTCCATCTTCAATCATAACATCTCATAACAGCAGCCAACAGCGATTTACAGCTTTAACACTTTTCCTTACATTAACTTGTGTATTAAATCCCTTATAATTTTATCAAATTTAGTCTACTTTTCAATCCAGTAGTGATTAACTGTGTGTCTTTTACCTGTTTATTTCACTTTCCAAGCCAAACTTTATCCACCAAAAACTCCAAATCAAAATGATTTCAATCAAGTCAACCCTTATTCTTGCTGTTACCATTGCTTGTTTGGTTAGCCTTTCACTTGCCAAACCACCAACATCTACAACTTCAACCCCATCATCATCACCCTTGACCTCAGGATCATCCAAAAGCAATGTTAAAGGTAATTAGCTAAAAAATTTGCGGAATCATTCCACTTATATTTACTACTTTCGGCTTGTTTTTTGTTTCAATCTCTAACAGTCAATGGGACATCATCCACTCGCGCTCGAGGATCACGATCAGGATTTGATCCCAACTACTCCATGTGGGGCCACGCTACTCCAAGCACCCTTTCCTCAACTGGAAGATTTGATATGGTTCCTTTAATCCCAATCGTCCTTCTTTTCGGTCTTGGCCTCATGCTGATTCCATTCTTAACATCATTCATTGCCCATGTTCTTTACCCATCCAATTTGCCTGCTGGACGAAAACGACGATCCACTGATTCATCATCTGGCTTCCTTAATGATATGATGATCAATGTCTTGAAAAATTTGGAATCATCCATCGAAAAATATACATCATAATAATCTAACATTGACCCAAACCTGATCCAGTTCTTGGACTAAGTAAACATACATTCCATCATCCTGATTCTGGTAATCCAAGAGATTAAAGATCTCCAAGATCTTATCAACACTAATCATTGAGAATGAAACTTTTCGCAACAATACATGTATTTTCACTTTTTCAATTTCTCACTCTTTTTGTTTTATTTTGTTGATTATTTTCCCTTTAATTTTACTAATTGTATTGCAAATGTTTTGTTTTGATGATTAGTTGGTCCAAATTTTGTGACTATCTTAACGCTTGGATGCAGTTCAATATACAAGCAATAAATAAAAGGCAACTTTTATCCAACAAACCCTCTGTAAAATGATGATAATAACAAATAATATTCAGTTACAATCAATCTCAAAGTGAATGCTGATCAAACAATTTATATTTTTCAATAGGAATGACAAAAAAGCCAATCCGAAACGATGATATTATAAAGTGAAAAGTCAATTCTGTTGGAGGTACAATATCTTATGATTAACCGTAAAAGAGACACAACAATGAAAATTTGTTGAAAATACATCAAACATTGAGAAAGAGCGGATAAAATGGAAAGACAAAACTAAATTGTCTCAATAACTTCAATGAATCCATTACAATAGCAAGATTTTTGTGCAAAATGGATCCACAATAGAAGTACACTTGATGTACTTGAAATGGTCCTAGTTTAATCAGGTCAATAATTGTTTAAAAAGATTCACCAATTTACCATTTCATGTGTTTACTGATAAACATGAAGTAAACAAAGGTAACTCTAGGATCTCATCAGCTTCGGCTCCTTAACCCCTTTCAATGTAACCCACAAAGCGAAACATTTCAACAAGGATATCAAAAATGATCAAAAGGTAATTTCATCTGTTCATTCAATTCAATTTACTTTTCACCATTCTTTATTTTTCATCAACTTCTTAACATTCCATAACCTCTTCAATTCCATCTCACTCTTATCCTGGTAAATTGTGAATAATCAGACTGTGGCCATCACTATAAGATCAACTCTTTTCCACTGCCAGTGCTTATTGCTTGCCCACTCTTCAACCCAAATGTTACTCTATCCAATATTGAAGTTTCCAAATGATAACCCAAAATACCTCAATTTTAATGTGAACCCAAACCTAATCCTTAACCAGATAACTTACACCAATTACCAATAATTTTTTTAGTCAAAGAAGCAAATTCTTTTAAAAATGTTTATTTTGTTTACTTTGATTACAATTTTACTGCCAAGTTTACAAGTTAATGGATCCAATGAAACCTCATCACTGGATTATACACCACCAATGGTGTCCTCCTATCTAACAGGATCAGGATCTCAGGCTTACACTTCAGGAACAGCTTCAGGTTCACCTTACTGGGAATATCCAATTCAACCTCGTCCCTATCCAATTGACCTTTGGAGACACCATCGATACGATTATTGGGATCCAAGTCATGAGTTGTATGGACGAGCCGATTATTACTGGCTTATCCCGGTTGCTTTTATCATTGGTATCGGAGCTTTAGTTTTACCTGTGTTTAGCCTCTTTGCCACTGCAATGGTAACAACCGGGACAATCAATTTAACTGCTGGTCGAAAGAAACGTTCATTGTTCAATGAAAAGCCAATCTCTGTTTTGGTAAGGGAAGTTCAATCAGCAATCACACGATTTGGTTACAATAATCAAAGGTTTGCAAAAGCTTAAATGATTTGCTTCAACTTACTTCAAGTGTCAAACACAAACCTCAAAACCAAATGCTAATGTAAAAATATACGCACAATTAAGCTAATTTTATTGAAAATAGCTAATTCTATTTTCTCTTAATATTATATTTAATCAATTATTTGCCTGTAAATATAACCAATAATTTGATATTAAAAAAGATTTTCTTTTTTTGCTTACTTTCAACTCAATTTGAGCCAAATATTCATCTTTATGCTTTACTGTAATTGTTAATCCATCAACATCAACCTGTAAATCGCATTTGTTGAATCACTGTTGAAAAGATTGTCAATCAGATTGGAAAATTGAAATTTACTTGATTCTCATCCAACAACTTGACTCAGCAATTGGCGAGTTTTGTTTTTGTAATCATTTAATTGTATTTTTAAACGTACATTCAAGTTTCTCAAAGAAGGTTAATAGACAAGTCAAGCTTCTGGATGAAAAATGGTCAACAATTAATAAAAGAATCAATTTATTAGCCAAGAAATTTTGAGAAATGTTCAGTAAAAACAGTGAATCTTTTTGCTTTTCCCTGAAAACCAGTGAATGTTTTCACCTAAAAATTTACCAAAAATTAGTTGTTTGAACCATTTCTTGCCAGTATTTATTGACAATACCAAGAAATAGATTAACGTGAACATTCAAACTCAATAGTAGACTCAATATCAGCAGCAATGTTGATATTGATTTAAGCTTTAATGTTTACCTTTCAAGATTACACTTAAAGGCCTGATTTGACAGGACAAATGTCAATCAATTAGACATTTCTTAAGCTATAATTAAACTATTGAGCAATTAATTGATTAACACAATCAAAGTAATCTCAATTGTCTCATCTTATCAATAAAACGTCAACTTGAGAAGAGTATAAAAAGCTATTGAATCCAATGAACAACCAAAGCAAATGAGATTAACCAAAGACAATGACAAATTATCTTCAAACATTGATTACCATTTTAATCACAATCATATTCATAGACAACAATAAAAACTGGATTAAAAGGTTGACCATGTTAAAGGTTAAACACAAGGAGAAGAGATGAAAATTGCAACAAAAATTGATCAACTGATTGGCTATTCATTTTCAATTGTATTAAAGATATCATTAGATGCAAACGTGTCCGTGTGATATTAACACTGAATTAAGTTAATCTGTTGACCCCAAAAATACCAACAGAAACACCTAAAAGGTAAAACAACAAAACGCTTTGGAAGCATTTTTTTCTCTCTTATTTCAACAAAAAAGTTAACAAAAAAAGAAGACAAATTGCCTTAAAATTTATTGTTGATTCCCTAAGGCATGATAATCATCTTTCATCTTCTCTCTTCTTTTTTTCCAGGTAACATTTGCAAACATGTGATTCCTTTAAAAAGTCAATGTTACCTTGTTTTAAGGCTAAACAAGTTGACCTTCTTCTTCAGGAATTTTCATGTTAAACATTGAGAAAATAATTTACACAGAAATTTTTCTGCTTTTACCTTGTAAAAGTTAACCATTTTTCTGGTTAATTTACAAGTTTTGAGGAGCAAAAAGTATCTTCAATTGAAGATGACCAGAAATCTGTTGATCAACACATTCATTGGTTAACAGTATTTTACAATTAGTTGAAATCGATCAAATTTTTTACTTTCAATTGAAAAGTTGATGTTAACCACAATTTATGTTAATGGAAATGATCAGGTGAGAAAAAATGAATAATGAAAATGATGAAAATTGTGGAGGTAAATATTTTTATTCAATTGATTGATTGATGATGATGATTAAAGAAACACTTTGAGGTTTTAAAATGATTAACAAATGTTTATACCTTTAAAGTCGTAATGATAAATTGTAGTCAAATTATTTTCACCTTTTCTTGTCTGGTCTCATGAAGTTATTGAGAAAAGGATTGAACATGAAAAAGGATAAAAAAATCACTTTCATGCTTCTAAAGGGTGTTCAATGTAATTGCTTCCAAACTGGCGGAGCTAAAATTTTGATAATCACATGATAAGCAAGATAACTAGAGTGACATAGCAATAACAAAGGTAAAGGATGAAAGGTAAAATGTGATTTTACTCTGGTTATCTTGTCTTATCATGTTTTTGATTGTGATTATCAAAATTTAAGCTCCGCCAGTTTGGAAGTAATTACATTGAACACCCTTTAATACACAATTGAATTACAATCAATTTTTGGGTTACATTTTTGGGTACTTCAACTGTTGCTTACTGATGATACCAGTGATGATACTAATGATTCTGGTGATTGGGATAAAGCCATTTTGTCAAGTCAACCAACCATATTGCCATCGTCTTCCTTATGCCGAGAGTTGAGGCCATTTTTCCGATCAAATGAACAACTTGTCTTTTGACACACATCAAATCATCTTCATTCCTCACCAAATGATCAAGAATCAGGCTCATTATGAGTAAAATCATGAACAACAACTGATTTAATTTGGAAGATTAAACTTAAACCTTTTGACAATCAATGGGTTTTCAATGGAAATATCATTTCTCTTTCAACGCTTTTTGTCTTTTCATGAAATGCTGACATTTTCATGGAAAGAAAAGGCCTTTTCTATTTTCATTTTTTATTCATTTGTTTCTGGCTTTTCTCACCAATCTAATTGTGACTCATTTAATTGGTGTCTTGAAACAGGAAATGTATTAATTTGGTTACTCATAGATATTTTAATCAACATTGATCATTTAATCAACTCAAGTTTAAAGAGGAAATTGAAATAATGTTCAATTTTCAACTTGTAATGTTAATTGAAGGTTACTGATTGTCATTAAAGATAGTTTAGGTATTCAATTGCAATTAACGGCTGGACAACTGTCTTCAACAATCAACTAATTGATTAAACAAATTACTGTTAAACCTTGAGATATATTAATAAATCTAATAAAAAATTAAAGTTTCAAGATTTGCTTCGTTTCAATGCAATTGTCTCATTACCATTGGATGACACTTTGAATGTTTGGTGAGGAGCAGCAATTAATTTATGTGTGTCTTATGATTTGTATTTTTTTGAATAAAATGTTTTAAAAAAAGATGAAGATTGTTGAAAAGGTAAACATGAGATTAATCAAGGTTAAGAGCTGTTGAGATTATCTTATAATCAGCTTTGAAATGGTAAAGTTGAAAGTGAAAATGTTCATTGTTCATTGGTTAATCAACTATTCAACAGGTTTAGCCATTTGTTGCTCATTGTGAATCCTACACGAGTTGAGTTACACTCTGATCATCACTTGATGAAACTAGAATCACAACTAATTTAAAATTGATTAAAACTGATTAACTGGGAAACTTAATCAACCCACGAAAAGGCATCATCTTCATTACACTGTTAACATAATCAACTTGATTACTATCAATGAACAGTTGGAAAGATGGAGTAAGTTGAGATTGAATTGAGAGTCTCTTGTGATTGATCAGCATACAGTCAAATGTTATCAACTGACAATTTAATTTTACAATTGATTTTCATTTGATAGTTGAGTTGAACAATTAACTGTTAATCAATTGATTCAATCAAAATGAAAGAATAGCAAAATTTGAGAAATTTGAAAATTTTGGGTTAACCTTTACCGACTCTTTGCCTCAACACTTGATAGCTTTTTTGTAATGTCAATGTTTAACAATTTAAACACTTTTCTTTTAATTAATTAATTAACGTAAAGACTGATGATTAAGGTGAGGCTTAATGAGTTGTATTAATAGAGTTGCACCTAAATAGGAAGACAGGATAATGGTTAATTAATTGTAATTAATAAAAAGTCTCTTTTTGTTGTTGCTTCTTCTTCTAGTCTATTCAATGTGGGTTTCCCTATCATTTGAATCAATATTGAAATGTGATTTTAATCAATAAATTGTTGACAAAAGACTCAATGGATTGGATTACAGGTTGATCAAGGTGCGGTCCAGGCCCGGTTTCAGGTTTAAATTGATGATCAAGTTTACCTGTAAAGCTATTAAAATAGCATCTCATCAATCAAAGACACAAATTTTTAATGCAATAAAATTTCTCACTTAATTCATTCAATCATTTCTTGCTGTTGTTACCTGAACATGTTGGAAGATTATTTAAAGATGAAAATTGTTGATTCATAATCGCTGTTAATTGTGAATGATTAACGTGAATAAGACAATGACAATTGTTTAAATTTATTTAAAAGATTAAATGGTTTTCTCGGTTTTTGTCTGTTAGTCAAAAGTAAATTGAATTTAGTGACTTTGGCTTTTGATAATGAAATGTTGAGTTTAATAAAAAAGCGTGTCTTGTTAAAAATAAATTGTTCATCAAATGTATGAGTTGAACAAGTTTGATGAGGATGAGAAAAATGATTTTAATGATGATCAGCATTTCGATCATCTTTCATTTTTTGGCCAATTATTTGCTCGAATATTGATTATCCTTCAAATCATCTTTGACATTAGATGAAGATCAGAGAGAAGAGAGAGAGAAAAATGATGGAAAATGAAAATGAAGAGAATGATGAAAGAAGGATGAAAGATGAGCAAAAATTTAAAGATTAATATGGTGAAGATGAGGGCGAGTATGAAATGGATAAAAAAATACATTAATATACTATCATGTAAAAGACCATTATTATGAATGTTCATTTGATGGGCCAAGAGGGACTTTGTTAGGTTGTAAAATTCACGACTAACGGCCAAGTTGGGTTTACTCAAGTTATGGGAATATATCAAAGAAGATGATGAAAATGATGAGAATGACGATGAAGAGGATAATGATGAATAAGATGACGATGATAAAGTGAAGGATGAAATAGGTGGAAATGGTGAAAATAAAGATTAAGTGGATTATCAATTTAATGTGCAGACCCTTGTAACCAAGCTATTTTCATGGGACAAGAGTCACTCTCTTAGGTTTAAAAATTAATTGCTAAAGGCCTAAGCAAACTCATTTAGATGATCGGAAATATCAATGTGAAGATACTTAAAATGGAAGATGAGATGATGAAAATGATGACTATGAAGATGAGAGGATGATGGAGAAGATGTATTTACCTTAAGGGTTTAACAGTCAAGACTTGTTTTCCTTAGCGTTTTATCTTCAACAGATTTTCCTTTTTTTCTGGTTTAATCCAATTTTAAGCCAATTTCATCTTCTCTTTCCTTTTCATCATCATTCTCATCTTTACATTATTGGCATTATCAAACCACAAAATGACTCCTCTCTTTGACTTTTATCATCTTCAAACCATAATAACCATGAAAGAAGCCAATGTTGATCTCTCGACACTCAATATCAGCTTAAATCAATCATGGGAACCAAAGTTGATAATTAGGGAAACCTTTATAATCAAGTGTTATAATCATGTAAGCCTTGAGACTATTATCAACACAACAATAAAAATTAAGTTAACAGTTAGTAGCAAGAAACAAAACAGTCTAAACTCTTGAAACACTCCTTTTTTTACCAGTTTTTTTGGTCTCCTTTTTTTACCCAAATTTCATTCAACTTTAAATTATGTTGATGATTTGTTTTTGTTTGCCTCTTTGAAGGTGATTTAATTTGTTTATTTGCCTGAGATCAGTATTTAATACTAATCATGAATCATGATGGAAACGATGAAAATGATTTAACCGTTCTAGCTTAAGGGTTTTGATTATCATTATGGTTGTTGTTGTTAATACAACATGACAACTAATTGATAACCGGTTATCAATGGTAGAAAGAGTATAAAAACAAGAGAAAAGAAAAAATTACTATTATTATGATTACCATTATGATTAGTGTATTAATCAAGTTACCAATTCTGGTTAACTAACCAAAAACTGGTTTCCCTTGATGATCAAGATCATTGGATCATCGCAAGAATGTAATTAAATTAATAATCACTGGTAACAAGAGTAACAATTGTTGGCTCTTTTCTCCCTTTTTGTTTTCCATCTGAAGATTGTTCAACAATTCAGATGATAATCAAGGTAATCAGAGTTGATTTAAAACAATTATTTGAAAGTGCAAGTTACTTTCGGTATTTTGGGTTGTTAAACCAGAATCTAAACCTAAAAATAAAAGGTTTTGAATATAAAACAGTAACAATGAAAATGATCAAGCTTTAAATGATTATTAAACATGTTAACGGTGAATAGCGTTATGAAAAGGGTCAGAAATGTAATGATAAAAAGGGTTGAATAATGTAGCAAAAAGGCAATTGAAATTGAACAAAAAGAAGACATTTTAAGGGAAACAACAATTCGCTTGATTGAGTTGAGACAATATTAATACATTAGACAAATGGTATGAAATATTGGGACAAAAACAGCTGATGATGAGTAACAAGAAGAGACACAAATTGAGTTAACTTTGAAAGAAGAGGAACATTAAATTAACGTCATCTTCATGGATTAGTCGGAAGTTGGTTACATTAGTTGATGATCATTGAGGTTTGAAAAGCCTAAGGGAGAGAAGAAGAGAGAAGATGATGAAGATGATGAGGATCGAGGTGTTGGTTGATTGTTGAGGAGGGCGAACAATGTTATCCTTGAATGCCTTTGATTGACCCTGTTTAACTGTTGATTCAGTTTGATCACAATGAAATTGATATTATGATGTTGAAGATGGAAAAGGAAAATAAATGAAATTGAGAAACAAGAAAAGTCAATGTATTCCATTAGTTTTTCAATGGTCTTTATGTAATACAAGATGACTTTGATGTTCATTTTTTTCTCTCTTCTTCTTCATCTTCTCCCTTAATCTGATGAAGATCTGATGAAGATGATAAATAAGATGATCATCGTGTTGATCCACGCTTAAATTGAACCTTTATTTTTACGCCTTTCAAAAGGTGAAACCAATTCAATTTGGAAGGAAACCTTTTTTTGTTGTTTTCGTGCTTTTAAATTAAAACCATTTCAATAGCTTTTAATGTTGACCATTTAATATTATCATCGCATTTTGCTTGTTTTTTTTGTTTCTTTCCCTGTTATATTTATTCTCATCAACCAAAAACAGGGTGGAAATTGAGTTCAATTGTATTATTGGAGATAAATTTCACGTTCAAGTTCACAATTGAAAGACAGCAAAATGAACAACAGACTAACCCGAAAAAGGTTACAATTGTTGCTTCAATTGAAACAATTGACTGTTGAAAGTTGAATCAATAAATGAGAAATGATATTGAAATGATTGTTTCTCTCTTTTTAATAAGACTAATTAAATGAACGATTACAATGATTTTTTAATGAAAACAGTTAACCAGTCACCATCTAACATCATCATTATCATCTTATTATTATCGCTTTGAGCGTAAAACCTAAAAATAACAAGCCAAGGTTGAAAGGCGAGGCTCAATTGGAATCCAACAGAAATACCTTTCAACAATCAGGAAATTAGTGAACACGATCATCTTCACTCTTCTTCTTCCTCATCCTTTTCTTTCTCCATCATCATCATCATCCTCTTCATCGTCTTTTATGTTGATAGATATTGGTGATTTGTGATGCATTTTTGGGTTTCAAACAAAGTCTAAACTCTATGAGTTTTAACTTTAATGATTCAAACCAGCGTGAGATGGTGAAAATGTGAAAATGTTGTGATTGTAAATGATTAAAAATGATCATTTGAAAGCTTCCTCATCATGCAAATCAGCTGATTTTAAGTAAAAAAAGTCAACCATTTGAGTGTTTTAAATTAAGTTTAACAAATTGATATAAAGCTATTTTTCCGTCTAATCTTGCTTTTTCAGTGCAATCTTTAAATCTCATTTGGTTAAACTATTCAAGTCACAATTCATTTTTTGTTATACATTTTTTTTTGCTGGTTTCCTCAACCTTTTTTAGACTCTTTTTCAACTGCTCTCAACTCATGGTTTTACATATTAATTATCATGTTTAACTTTGATCTGAGTTGATGATTTTAACAGTTATTGATCAACTAATGGTGAAGCGAAACGCAAATTGAAGTAAACAACGAAAAGAAGATCAGCAAATTTAAAACCAACTCCTGGTTGACCCTTTCAAAGCAATCATTTCCAACTATTTCCGTCAAGAGTAATCTAAATTAATTGTGGAATTACATTTACAACAGTTTAATTGATCATTTCGTTTAATTATCAACCATCAAAATTATCCTATGAGATCAAAATACAGGCTTCAAGTACAAAGGTAGACTTGGTTGGTCTTTTTTTTCAAACCAAAGTTTCACATTATCTCATTGAAAGATGATGATCGTTTTGTTGTAATGTTCAATTGATCATTTAATGATTAGGAGGAAACAAAATAAATCAAGTTCACTATGATAATAACAACAATTACAGTCAACAGTAAATATCAATTGTAAATGTAATGTAAAAAAAGTCCAAACCATATTCGGTTAACGGTATTTTCATGTTTGTTTTGTTATCGACATTTTCTGGTTTTTTTACCTTTTCATTTGCTTCCTCCGCTCGTGTTTAGATCATCATGAAAACAGTAACAATTTCATGTTGATGATGATGAGAAACACTCACACACTAAACAGACAATCATTTCTAATCACACCTTAATCTCTTTTTGATTATCCTGATTCATTTGAATTAGAAAAAAGAAGAAGAAGAAGAAGAAAAAGTAGACTCAAGACATAAATTTACATCCATTGTAGGCTGTTTCTTGAAACCAACAGTTGAACCAGAAATCGCAAGGTTAAGGTTAATTTAAAAACTGCATTTACAGTTAATTATAATGTTTACCAGAATTGTAATAATGAAATTAATCAATTAAATTAAACAGTAAAAACAACAGCTAAAAATAGCTGTTGAACCAGAAAACCAGAAAATTGTTTACTTTGTTTCTTTACCCAAAACTGACTCAACTCTGGTAATAATTTATAAATTATAAAAATCAACAAAAGTGATTCTTTATTCAAGAAACTGGTTACAATGTTGAATCTTTTCAATAACATTGTTTCACAAACCTTAGTCAGTGTCTGTTGATATTAAATAATAAAATCAATGTGTTCACTTGATTATTGTTGAAAAGTTAATAATAGAGATGCGGAAGATTCATTGATTATTATTGATTACAGATATCATAATTGATTAGTTTTAAGGAGTTAAGTTGAGCTTTTCCTCTCGCATTTTATAAATCATTCAAGTGAACCGTAATTGATGTTAATCAAGTAAAATTGAAATTGAAAGGGTGAAACAAAACACACACACACTGATTGTAATCGTCTCAATTAATCTGTATCAACAGGTAACCTGTCAACAAGTGTTAACCTGACAAGATAAAGTTACATCGTTTTAGTATACAAATGACCTTAATTTTTAATTTGTCACTCTCTTAATTTAGATGGAATTCAACTTTCTCTAAATATAACAAAAATATAGCAAAAGTGGTTGAAGGCGATAAATTAAGGCCTAAAAATTGACCAAAAGTTTTCTGGTCAATTTGGGTTCAATTGGTCATTTGGTATAAATTGAAATTGAAAAGTCGAAAAGTGATCATTTTGTTGACTAAATTGTTCAGTGAAACATCAGTAGTTTTATCATTACAATCGGAGTATTAATTTCATCTTGACAAAAAGTCCTTTCAGTTTTTATCAAGTACTTTGAAAATCTTGTAAACAACTTCAACTTTTGGATAACATTTTTTTTCTAGATTCCATCTTGAACATCTCAATAATCACAATTAACATCATCATTAACATCATAATTAACATTATAATCATCACAATCAGTTGAACTTAGGCAATCAAGTAAGTATTGTTTTAAAGTGATTAGCAAATATGCGATCATCAAGTGAAGAGTGATTTGTTCAATGAAAAAATGTTTGCAAAAGTGACTTTTAAATTTGATTTTTTGAAATTTTCTTTTTCTGGTTAAATTGAAACCTAGAATGCAAAGTAAAACAGTTATCCTGTTGGTATCGCTAATTGTGTTGGTTTTTGTAAATCTGGTTCCATCTTCAACAATGCCAAGAAGGAAAATGATGAAATTGAAAAAGCTTGCAGCTTTAGCTTTGATACTTAAATCACAGAAGAAAAAAATGTACGCCATTCCGATTCCAATTCCACTTCCAATTCCGTAAGTAGCAAGTTTAATCAGCGTCAGATTGTCAACCCTTTTGTCACTTTGATTCTCTTTGTTTTTACCTTTTCTTTCTTTCTTTTTTGATATCTTTTTGTATTCCGTTTGGGTTAACAGTATTTATAAAAATAAAGTAATGGGTCAAGCCGAGTTTGTCCAAGATCAAATGGTAGTCAATGGAGCTCAACATCACCCAAATCATCACGGATTTCAAGCCAATTCCATGGCCCACTCGGGTCATATGGTTATTGAACAACAACCTGTTATTGCACATCACCAGTTCCATCAGGTTCCGGTTCAAATGTCATTTCCACTGAATCATCATCATCATCATTCTAATCCTTCAACCGTTCCATTGCCTGTTGAGTATCACCAGCAAAATTGTTAATCAACTGATTGTCTTCATGTCTTCATGGTGACTCTTATTTGCTCTTGATTCGTGTTCAACCCATTTTAAATGTTACCTGTAAACATTATTATATCACTTTTAGCTTCACCATTCAACTAATTGTAGTCAAGCACAATTTAAATTTTACTCAAAGGAAAAGGTTAACTTTTCCAATCCTTTACCTCTTTTTACTTGATATTAATGTAACCAAAAATTGTATATTTTTTTAAGTTTAATCAAAAATCTCATTGAAATATTTTTTGTCAAGTGAAAATCAATAGTCTACTTCATTTCATGGCTTTGTTTTTTTGATAAATTTTCAGCTGATAATTGAAGTGTTTTGATGATTCAACATGATTAACATTACAATTGATGAATAAAAAGATGTGTGTGAGTGTTTGTGTCTGTCTTGACAAACTGAAGATTTAAATGTTTGGGGTAAATGGATTATCAGTTAATTAACTTGCTATTTAAATTAGCAATTAAGATTACAAGTTGGAGTAAAATTGGTGAAATTAAGGTGGAAACTGTTATCATTAAATTGTTGTTTTTGTAGAGACGGTTAAGAGGTTATGAGTCAAAACAATAAAAGCCTTTTAAGATTAAACATGAGTGATCATAGTTTTACATTTTTTTTGCTTAAAGATGATTAGTTTAACTCAAGACTTATTGCTGTAACTAATCTTAATATTTGAGGATTGTTTTTAATCTGAAAGGTCACTGGTCAAGATTGATAATACTTTCAGATGTTGAGAGGATTAAATGAGAAAGAAGAAGAGGAGAAAGAAAAATGCGACAGTTGAGGGATTACACGCCCTATGAAAATATATATGGATCAATGGAAGCGACAAATGTAATTTAGAGGATAAATAATGTCCGAGAAATGCGCAGTTTTACTTTTAGCTTTGCTCATCTTCATCACCCTGTTGAGCAAAGCGAAAGAAACTGTCAGAGAATTGAATGTTACATAAATATTCGGACTCTAAATATACAAATGTGTGAGCAACTTTGGCCAATTACTTTTGAACCAGAAAAGGCAATATTAACCAAACAGCTTTAAGACCAATAAACATCTTATCTTGTATGTCTGACAACTGGTAAAAGGTCATTCTAGCTGGTTTAATGTTAATTTGTCTAGTTTTATTTAACCAATCAATAAGCTATTGCTTTCAAACTGTTCATTTATATTCAAATGTTTGATTAAAACTTGATTTTGTATGAAAAACATACAGACATACATACAGTATATTGGAAATGTAATCAACAAGTTATTTGTTGTGTAATGGAGAGAGATGATGTTATTACTTTGACCTTAAAATGTAGTCAAGAAAAAAAAATTAAACTGTAAAATATTCAATCACAAGTCAAAATTTAATATTTAAAGCTTTTAAAAATAAATATAAAAAAAGAAAAAATGGAAGGGCAGATATTCATGGTCCTAATTTGGGTTTCAATGGGCAAATAATACATGAGACAAATGATTTTTTTCTTTTGTGAAATTTAAAGTTTTGTGAGAAATTGAATGCAGATCTCATCTGATAGATCTTTGTTAGTAAGGATTTGATGTTTACAGGAATATCAAGCATTGAAAAAAATGCACATTAAATGTTTTTGTTCGTAAACTTGATGAAATATCCGCAGATACGATAATACAAATAGAGATGGTTAATTTTCTTTTAATTTTCTTCTTTCAATTAGCTGAGCATCGTTTAGCCAACATTAGCATCGTTGGGTTTTGTTTCGCCGTCTTTCTGTTCCACTGTCTTTTCAGTTGTTGTTTCAGCACCGGGTTTGTCAGCACTAGATGCTTCAGTAGTCTGTTCAGTTTTCTCAGATTTTTCAGCATCAGTTTTATCAGATTCAGTTTTTTGTTCAGCTTTCTCTTTCTCTGCCTTTTCTTTTTCGGCTTTCTCTTTTTCGGCCTTTTCCTTCTCAGCCTTCTCCTTTTCGGCCTTTTCCTTTTCAGCCTTTTCTTTTTCTGCTTTTTCTTTAGCTTCGCGCTTCTTACGTTCCTTCTCTTCTTTTTCCTCCTTCTTTTTACGTTCCTTTTCTTCTTTCTCCTTACGCTTCTTCTCTTCCTACATAACGAAAACAATAGCAATAATCAAGAAATCAACATTAAATTACGAATTATATTAGTATAACACCAGCGATAGGTGATAGTTACGTCTGGATTGTAACGGTAATAGTGTAAGTAATAGTTCCAACATAATGGAGACACTCACGACTTAATCGGGATACAATTAACATTTTATGTCGTTTAGATAGAATAGATATCAAATAAAATTAAATAAACTTAACATACCTTTTCTTTCTTCAATTCTTCTTTCTTTTTCTTTTCTTCTTCAGTAGCTTCATCAGATTTTTTAGTGTCATCAGTTTCACCTTCCTTTTTTGGTGCAACTTCAGTTTCGACAGGTTGACAGATTGTGTCCCAATCCTTCCAGTAGCGTTCCTTCATTCTTTCAACAAATTTGAATAAATTTGGAGTATCATTTTTGATAAATTCATCATAATTTTCAAATGGAACAAAGATGAATTGAGCTAAAATTGAGAATGCTTCAGCATCAAGCAATCGTGGTTTGTCCCCAAAGAAGAATTCTTTTTCACCTAATGCATTGCTTAGCATTTCCAAATCTTTACGCCCAGTAGCATAAACTTGATCTGCATCATGTCGTCCAATGCCATGCCCAATAAGGTCTTTGATATTCTGTTGATTAAATAGCGTAAAAAAAGAAAGTTAAAAAGAAAGAGAATAAGAAAAATAAAGAGTTACGGTGTGAGAGATGAAAAGATAGTATGATTGAAAAAGATAGAGAAACAGAAGGAGACCAGAAGAGGAGGGAAGAAAAATAAGAGAAATGTAACCATAAAGTAAGAGAAGCAGAGAATGGGAGTAAGAGAAACCAGAGGGAAAGAGCGAAAGAGAAAAAAGAGGGAAAGACTGAATGTGTGAAAGACAGTCAGACAGACCAACATATCACTGCATGGACTTAATGTTTAAATTTGAATATTAAATAAAAAAGTAAAGATTCATAATTTTAGTACACTTACACTTTTGAATCCTATTTTGAACATAAAATTGAGAACAGATTGAGGAAGCTTTGAATTAATTGTTTTCTTAATATCTGTTCCAGAAACTTTCAAGAATTCTTGTGGATGCTTGAATCGCCAATGTTTAATTATCCAAGCTGTATGATTCTCAAGCATTGATTCTAAAGCATGAGCTATGACTTTCTGATCGGCTGTCAAATCAGAGTTCAAATCAACTTTAAATTCTTTTGATAATTCCTCAACAATAACATCAGTTTCGGCAATTTCACGTCCATTCAATTCTACAAATGGCATATCACCCTTGCTAGATTTGTATCTCATTTTATGATCAACATTCTCATAGGGTATATTAGCCATTCTCAAAAAGGTTTCCAATTTAAGACAATGAGAAGATGATGATGGAAGTGATGCACATCTTTCAAATTGATACAAATAGACTTTTCCTTCCTCATAATCAACCTTATGGACTGTAGGTTTTTTAACCGGACTAGCAGCAGTATCCTTATTGCTTTCCTCTACTTTCTTTGAATCATCTTCAGTGGTAGAATTAGCATTAGCATTAGTGGTGGTAGTAGTAGTTGTTTCCTCAGTTTTAGCATTAACTTTATCCTCTGTTGGTTCATTGGTTGCTTCAGTATTGGGTGCGACGACAGCAGGAGTTTCAGTTACACTCGTCATATTGATGGAAAAAAAACTGATTTAAGAAAAAAAAAAGTTGTTCAAAATTCACAAAAGTCACAAACTTAAAAAAATGACTAACGTTTAACAAAAAAACAAGAAACAGATTACTGTTAATGATTCTGATGATTCTGATGTTTACGAAAGATGAAATTTAAAAACTTGTAGATGATGATGGATTAAAGGAATAAACAGAAGTGAGCGAAACAAGAATGGCGGCATCTAAGGAGTGTCTCTAGCTTTTATCAGCATAAGTTTAACAACGTAAACTTGCTCTGTCTCCATCTATCCATGTTACATAAAACTAACCTTTATTCCCTTCTCATTGATTGGTTACTGGAAAGGGAAGGAAAAAGGGAAATCCACAAGTTCTAGAAAGAACCGGATAGATGGCGACTGAAGATACTCTTTGTTTGCCCTTTTTCAAGTTGAATGAAAGGGGAAAGAAGGGAATGAAGGTTAGTTTTCAATGATATAGATAGATGGAGGCAGATCGAGCACACGTTGTATTGCTTATGCTGATAAAAAGCTAGAGACACTCCTTAGTTGCCGCCATTAATGCTTTCTCATACTTGTCTTGTCCCCTGATTACCACCACCCTCTTCAATTTTAAATTTTTTCACCTCCATCAACATCATCAAAATAATCATCGTCGTCCTCATCATTTCATTTTATTAATCAGTATTCTGTTTGACTTGACAATATTTCTCCCTGTTAGTCATTTTTTTTAAGTTTGTGACTTTTGTGAATTTTGAACAACTTTTTTTTTCTTAAATCAGTTTTTTTTCCATCAATATGACGAGTGTAACTGAAACTCCTGCTGTCGTCGCACCCAATACTGAAGCAACCAATGAACCAACAGAGGATAAAGTTAATGCTAAAACTGAGGAAACAACTACTACTACCACCACTAATGCTAATGCTAATTCTACAACTGAAGATGATTCAAAGAAAGTAGAGGAAAGCAATAAGGATACTGCTGCTAGTCCGGTTAAAAAACCTACAGTCCATAAGGTTGATTATGAGGAAGGAAAAGTCTATTTGTATCAATTTGAAAGATGTGCATCACTTCCATCATCATCTTCTCATTGTCTTAAATTGGAAACCTTTTTGAGAATGGCTAATATACCCTATGAGAATGTTGATCATAAAATGAGATACAAATCTAGCAAGGGTGATATGCCATTTGTAGAATTGAATGGACGTGAAATTGCCGAAACTGATGTTATTGTTGAGGAATTATCAAAAGAATTTAAAGTTGATTTGAACTCTGATTTGACAGCCGATCAGAAAGTCATAGCTCATGCTTTAGAATCAATGCTTGAGAATCATACAGCTTGGATAATTAAACATTGGCGATTCAAGCATCCACAAGAATTCTTGAAAGTTTCTGGAACAGATATTAAGAAAACAATTAATTCAAAGCTTCCTCAATCTGTTCTCAACTTTATGTTCAAAATAGGATTCAAAAGTAATATCAAAGATCTTATTGGGCATGGCATTGGACGACATGATGCAGATCAAGTTTATGCTACTGGGCGTAAAGATTTGGAAATGCTAAGCAATGCATTAGGTGAAAAAGAATTCTTCTTTGGGGACAAACCACGATTGCTTGATGCTGAAGCATTCTCAATTTTAGCTCAATTCATCTTTGTTCCATTTGAAAATTATGATGAATTTATCAAAAATGATACTCCAAATTTATTCAAATTTGTTGAAAGAATGAAGGAACGCTACTGGAAGGATTGGGACACAATCTGTCAACCTGTCGAAACTGAAGTTGCACCAAAAAAGGAAGGTGAAACTGATGACACTAAAAAAACTGACGAAGATACTGAAGAAGAAAAGAAAAAGAAAGAAGAATTGAAGAAAGAAAAGGTATGTTGAGTTAATTTAAATTAACTTAATTTTTATTATATCATCTTGTTAAATGTATCATTGTTATTGTTTTCGTTATGTAGGAAGAGAAGAAGCGTAAGGAGAAAGAAGAAAAGGAACGTAAAAAGAAGGAGGAAAAAGAAGAGAAGGAACGTAAAAAGCGCGAAGCAAAGGAAAAGGCAGAAAAGGAAAAGGCTGAGAAGGCAAAGGCCGAAAAGGAAAAGGCTGAAAAGGAGAAAGCTGAGAAGGAGAAAGCTGAAGCAGAAAAGGCTGAAAAAGAGAAAGCCGAAAAAGAAAAGGCAGAGAAAGAGAAAGCTGAACAAAAAACTGAATCTGATAAAACTGATGCTGAAAAATCTGAGAAAACTGAACAGACTACTGAAGCATCTAGTGCTGACAAACCCGGTGCTGAAACAACAACTGAAAAGACAGTGGAACAGAAAGACGGCGAAACAAAACCCAACGATGCTAATGTTGGCTAAACGATGCTCAGCTAATTGAAAAAAGAAAATTTAAAAGAAAAATTAACCATCTCTATTTGTATTATCGTATCTGCGGATATTTCATCAAGTTTACGAACAAAAACATTTAATGTGCATTTTTTTCAATGCTTGATATTCCTGTAAACATCAAATCCTTACTAACAAAGATCTATCAGATGAGATCTGCATTCAATTTCTCACAAAACTTTAAATTTCACAAAAGAAAAAAATCATTTGTCTCATGTATTATTTGCCCATTGAAACCCAAATTAGGACCATGAATATCTGCCCTTCCATTTTTTCTTTTTTTATATTTATTTTTAAAAGCTTTAAATATTAAATTTTGACTTGTGATTGAATATTTTACAGTTTAATTTTTTTCTTGACTACATTTTAAGGTCAAAGTAATAACATCATCTTTCTCTCCATTACACAACAAATAACTTGTTGATTACATTTCCAATATACTGTATGTATGTCTGTATGTTGAGAGTTTGTTTTTCATACAAAAATCAAGTTTTAATCAAACATTTGAATATAAATGAACAGTTTGAAAGCAATAGCTTATTGATTGGTTAAATAAAACTAGACAAATTAACATTAAACCAGCTAGAATGACCTTTTACCAGTTGTCAGGTTTAAAGATTTAGCTTTGGTCGGTGTGAGTGTGATTAGTAAAAGTAAAACGGATTTTAAAGGTTTAACCCTTCTTCGAAGTTGAAACTAAAAGCTTGTTAAATACAGATTGTGCTTTACCTCAAATGGAGTTAAAGCTAAAAATATTCAAATTTGAACATGAAACAAAAACAACACAATGAATGACCTTTTTTGTGTTTAACCGTTTTTAATAATGATTAGTTGTTGGTTGATTATGTCTACAAATGGCAAAGAAAACTGCTTATCAAAGTGACTTTTGCACTTTAATCATGATCAATTTGAACTTTCAAGCAACTATTGATTTTTTATTTGTATTAATAAATGGTAATAACGTTGCTAATAATTCCTGTTGATTATTATCAAACCCATTCAATGAACTTTACCAACTTTGATTTTGACTGTAGACAAACTGCGGAAAAAATAGTTACTTCAAATAATGAGTCTGAGAGAAACTGTTTTAATTTAATTTTTATTATTTGCTGCACCATTTCTAGCTTAATTGGCTAATCTATTAATATAATTAGTTGACATCTACTGATAATGTCTTGTAAAAGTAACAATTAAACAAAAAAACAAATAACAGGCAGCAAAGGAAACACCAAAAAGCTCATGTCTCGCTAATAATTCATCATAAAAGTGTTTGTCTCATCGAAAAATATGAACGATTAGGTCTCATGGTTATTCAAGAAATTTTTCATGCAACCAAACATTCCTCTTGTCTTTTTGCTGGTAAATAACAAGATATGAATGATGAGAGGTTGGAAGAGGCAAAATGACGATACTTGACAAAGACAATGCGATCTGAAGCAAAACGAGAAGTTGAAAAATGTGAAATGCCGGTGAAGATGAGAAGAAGAACTTTTATTTTCTGAAACAAGATGCAAAGTAGTGTTAAGAGGAAGAGTAAAGATGAGCCTGATGAGAATGATGAGTTTTTCGTAGACAGAGAAAGATGTTGGTGCTTGAAAGCTGCCTCAGCTTTGGCTGATAATTTTGGGTTTTTCTGGTTCAAAAGTAATTGGAGAAGAAGAAAGTGACTTATATTTAGAACTTGATTATTTATTCAAATTCAAGATTTTAACTGTTCCCTGTTGCTCAAGATGATGAAGATGAGGATAAGGAAAATAAAGAAGAGGGTAAAACTGCGCATTTCTTGAACATTGTTTGTCCTAAAATTACATTGACGCTCTCATGGAACCATTATTTTGGTAAGATTTTTTCACTACTTTCGTCTTTTGCTCTCCCTTTTTTAATTATTTACAAGAAACACTCCGAAATGTAATCTTTAATTGTTGCTTCTTCTTCTCCTCCTCTTAACTCATTAATCAATTTACAAACAATTGGCATCCTTTGACCGACCTACAGTCACCTTTACAAGACTCTCTTCAACCAACGAGATGGATTTTAATTCGAGTGAAGATGAACCTTTAACACCAACAACTTGTAAGTAATTTTACTTTTACTTTTACTTGGATTGTTCAACTAATCTGACTGCACCTTGTTGCTGTTGTTGTTTTCAATTAATTACTCGATTAATTGAACATGAATTTGATAATAATCAAGGTTTGTTTTATTGCTACTACTATTACAAACATTTTTTTACCTATTAATGTTGAACCATCAATAGTTGAACAACAGCAACAGGTATTATTTTGAGTAAACTGTTTGTTATGCATTTTTGTTGTTGTTTGTTGTTAAACAATTCACCAACTTAATTTGACGCTGATATTGAAATAAATTTACATTTAAAATCAATTTAAGGCTAATTTGGTATTTAACGTTAAATTGTAAGCCATTAACATGAAATCAGATGATTATCTGAGGATTGTTTGCTATTCAATAATCAAGTGAATGTTGAAGATTCAAGTAAATTGAAAAACCTTCAAAATGCAACAAGTGACGATCAAAAAAAAGCTACTTCAAGTTTATTGTAATGAACAATATACTAATTTACTTGGATTGAATAGGCAACAATTAACATACAGTTAAGTCAATTTGTTAACAAGAGCCAGACTTGAATTTTAAAAACTATGTTTAGTCGTTTAGCTAAGTTGCTAGAGGATTATGGACTAAACAGATTACTAAAAATTATAAATTACCTGAGCCTGAAACCAAAGAAAGAGTAAAACCTAAACCTAAACCTAAACTTAAACCTAAATCCAATCCTAAGCTCAAGTCTCAAGTGAAATCCAGTTGAGTTGATAGGGTAACAATATCTGTATGTAAGAATTGGCATTTCTAACGGTTGCTAAAGTTTGCTTAGCAAATGATTAACTGATTGTTTTGTATGTATATATAGACAAGAAAAGGTATTCATCGTCATGGTTTTATGGTCAAACGGATACGAGTTTTCCAACAATTGAAGAGCAAGTTGAACTGTGTCGTAAGATAGCGTCACAATTAGTGAACGATGAGAACAAGGAATCTAAAGGAGCGTCCATGTTTTACAAGCGGGTTAAAAGAGCACCTAAATGGGTCCACCAATCAACCCGGATAGGAAGCACATCAGGAGCCAGTGGATTATCAGCAAACCAACAGTTGTCCACGTTAAACACCACAAGCACAGTAAATTACGAGGAGAAATGTTTGTCCGAAGATGAGAGGGAACAAATTGAGAAGATGAAACAAAGATTTAGAGATGAGACTCGAAAACCATTGAAATTGATTCTAGATCCAAGAGAATTAAAATCAGTGGAAAGGTTACGAAAAAGTGGTACTTCATTTTCCGAACACAATGTTATCACTCCTGATGTCTGCCATAATTTGGTTAAAGATTTAAATTCACCAGAGATTAACAAAGGAGCGCAAATATTTTTGAAGAGAAAGGAAAAAAGTACCCAATGGGTTGTCGAGGAAAACCAGGCAACCAGGGAAATCCGTGAGATCAAGAGAGAACAAGAGAAACTGGAAGCGGCCACTTCAGCCTCGGAATTGTCTAGTCGCCCTGAATCCAGATTATCCGCTTATAATCAACCCTTAAACACTAGTAAAACATCGTCTGATCCTGTTTCCATCCAACGGATAAGATTAGTCAAATCACCGTGGGAAGCAGCACTAACCACTGGTAACGTTGACAATGCTTTTGAAACTGTAACACCAAATAAAGTTGTGCAAACAGTTAAAGAAGCTGCTGCCATAAAGCGGTCATCTATTGATACTAATTGCCTAGTCGAAGATGCCTTCAAATCAACAATCAATTCAACAATTAATTCAACTCCAATTGAACCCATAAAAGCCCCAACACTCTCAACAATAACCGCCACAGGAACAACAACGTCATCAGTCAATAAAGTGACCAATGAGCCATTTGGATTTATTGAGCGAAAGTATAATAATTGCTTGGCCCGAGCTCCAAGAGGTTGGAATACCAATGGTAAGTCTATTATTCTGTTGTAGAAATTTCTTTTTTTTCATTCTTTCCATTATTTTACTTATTAACAGTCTTTTATTAACATCAACAATCATTAAGGGGACTTGATTATTAACCTTGCCAGTGATAGCAATCAACATTTTATTGTTATTATCAACCATTATACACTAAATCAAATTTTCAAGTTGATGCTTTTAATTCCTTTTTATGCTTTCTTCTTTTTCTGGTTTCGGGTTTAACTTGTATATAAAATATTACGCACAACTCTTTGAAATAACCTTTTTTTGTGAAACCCTCTGTTCCTGTTTACCTTCAATATCAAATGAAAGTATTTAATTTTGTTGATTAACAATTGTTTAATGAGTAACTCATCGCATTGTTATTTAGATGTAAACCTGATTATAATTATACAATTGGTTATAATCTTTGATATTGTCTTAATCTATGGTAATAACTGTTCTACTATTACTTGTGTATGAAATGTTATAATGTAAAGTAGGCTCTAAGGCAAGAAATATTTATAAATGCTCAGCTTGATTCTGTTGATGATAATTGCTAATTGTTATAGGAAGTGAAAGTTTCCAGATAACATAAAATTGATTTTTCTCTGTTTTTCTCGCCTTATGATGATGCAGTTAAAACAGCTTTGATGATTTGTTTTTACTGTTTACTTGGAATGATCAGGGAACAAATTACACCATGTAAACCAACGGCTACCATCAACATGATGGTGACAATGATGTTGATGATTGTAATGATGATGATAATGTTGATCATCATTATCATCATCTTCATGTTGGATAGTTTCCAGTAATCTTCAACTTTCAATGGATAGAACAAAAAGTGATTATGTTTTTTTTCTCTCTGCATTTTCATTATTCTGAACTTGGCTATGGATGAGTGCGATCAGCAAACATGAAACAACAACCATGGTGATTACAATCGTTGTTTACTAGCACAATAACTACTCTGATAGAACCAGAAAAATATGGTTTCAAATATTGGATTGAGAAATGAAATTAAACCAATGTCAACCCAAACCCAAACCCAAAACTCAATTGGCAAGACTCGCAATTATAATATTCAGATATTTTCAATTTTCCACCAAATTCTGAACTCTTTTGATTTTGATTTTTCTTTCCAATTCAACATTCAATTGACATGGATTCTTTAATTGTTGGTTAAACATTTTTCAAGCTTTTTCTCACTATCTTTACAATCAAACAAAATATTTAAATTTTTCATTCTTGGCTCTGAATTAGTTTTACCTAGTTTTAACTCATCTTCATCTCCATCTTTCTGCTGATTCTTCCTGAAACAAACATTTTTCTTCAATCTTTTTCACTCTTTTTTTCAACAACATCATCAACATCAGCTTGATCATCATTAAACAAATCGAACTGTAAAGTGTTAATTATTTAGGCCAATAGTGACAGTTTTATGGCAACAATTTAAATACAGTCAAACACGTTTGTTAAATAATTTAGCAAAACTTGACAAGATTTGGTTGATATTTTTTCCACTCTCAATAACTTTCAATTGACTTGTTTTCATTTTTTGCTTGCTTATTTAACATAAAATTGGTTTTCAGCTAAATTCAGTTAACTAACTACCACTTTCATGGTAAACAGTTAAAATCAATAGCGATACTGATGATACAAGATTCACTAAATTTTACAAATTTCACAATTCAATGTTAACCATCACAAAATGATGATCATCGTAAATCACTCAAACATTGATGATATAATCGCAAAAATGATTCAATTGTGAGAATCACATGAACCCAAAAATTGAAGAGAAAAATTAAATTCCAAGAAAATTATTGAATAATCTGGTTAATAACTCAGATCAATGGTGACAATTTATCCAAATCTATTCTTAACCTTCCTTTAACCAATTTTTGGATTAATCTGGTTTTGGGTTGTAACCGATTTCACATTGTTATCATTTAATTACAATCTAGTTGCTATTTAAATGTTATTTTTTCCTTGATAATTATATTGTCTGGTTGTCTACTGTCATTAAGCCAAATCATCTCCTATTGTGGTTATTAAGATGTAAATTAAGCTGATGATATTCACCTTGGACTGTTTACAATTTACTGTTATCAAGCCAAAGCAACAACCAAGAAACCCAAATGTTTCAACTTTATTCACCTTTTTACATTTAATTGAACAATTTAAGATTAATCTTACAGAATCCTTCTTCTAATCACTTTCAACCAATTCTCTATATATTTAGACATTTTGACAGTTGATTGGGTGAGATTGAAATTTATATTTTATCATTAACTTTTAATAGATTCAAGATGAGTTTTGAAAATATTAATCAAATCAATCAATGAATAACCCAACATTTGATCTTTATATTTATTTATGTCTTTAACTTTGTCACTTTGTTTTTTTTTCTTGATTCATTCAATTGCTTTAATAATTTTAAATGATTTATTTACTAACAACCTGATGTACACAATTTTCATGTAAAACTTCAATGTTATACAAATAAATTAAAGAGCAAAAAGTTCAACTCTAAATCGGGTTTGATTGGTTAACGTTAAATTATGTCTATTAATAGACTCGTTTAACTCACCATTAAACTTGCTTTAAATGTTTAAACTGTCCAAAAATTGTGATTCTAAATGAATGGTTATTTATTGGCAATTGAATGTTTCCAAACAATCAATGAATTTTTATTCATCACAATCGTAATTGTGATTTGGTGTAATTTATTCCCTCAAAATGTTTACCTTTTTAACCAAACATTTACAATTTCATCACATAAGATACTTTTTGTTGTCTTCAGTCTTTAATTTCAATTTTTATTTTCATCATTTTTCCAATAAAATGTTTATAAGATTTTAATTTCTTGATTGAAATCAATTTAATTTACTTTGAAGATTTTTCTGGTTTCTGATCTACTCTCGCCATCTACAGGATTTTTATTCACCCATTACTTTCGAATATTTTGCATCAACTTTTACCATTGTTTTGATTAAGTGTTTTATATTTTCTGACTCAATCTATTTTGATTAGTGTTTATTGTGTCTTGTTTGACTTTTATATTAATTTATACACAGTGTACATAATTAGGTAAATTTCACTGTTATTGTTAATTTACTTAGACTCTGTAACTATTGAGATAATCAACAGTCTACACTAACAACACTGAAAATGGTGATTCAACAAGTGAGCTAATCTACATCAATTAAACCCACCTTTGTGCTGTACCCAACAATTTACCACCTTGTAATAAATTAAATTAAGGAAATCGTTATTCTTCCTAATATAACCCTATTTTTGTGTATCCCTGAGATTACAATTTTACCATTTATTTATTGATATTGACATTTCTGCATGCTTTTTACCGCTATTTCTTTCTCTATAATTATTTGGTTATCATTATTAATTGTTTTTTTTCTCTATCTTGTTTTATCTTTTATTGAACATATTGCTTCCTGTTGGGTGATGATGATGGCAATGATGATTTAATAGAACCTCGAAAGGATGAACAACAACGTCCATTATCAACTGCCAGTTTCTACCAGCAACATTATTACCAGCCAGGTTCATCTTATTCACCTTTGACCGTTGGAGCCAGTTTACCGGATTCATCTAGAAATTCTAGTCGCCTTGGACATTTTGATCAATCAAGCATCAGTGAACCCACCCTAACCTCCACCAATCCGACATCCACCAGTCAAAAGAATACCAACTTTAGCAATACTTTTAATTATAATTACAATAATTATAATCAAAAATCTTGCCTCACTTCAACTAACCAACCCAGTAGCATTGACTTACCTCATTTTAACTTATTATCATTTGCCTCCAATCAACACTCTCTACCCAAATATCGTGACTTCAATTCATCCCCTCGAGGCTTTATTCGATCAACTGGTTAGCTCAAATGTTTTCTCTCTTACACTATACTAATAAGCGATACTGAGATTTCCTTTTTCTCTGTTGAATTCTCATATGAGTCTCATCATTGTATCCTAAATTTTCCTCAATGAGTTAATTGTTTGAGAATTGTTTCATCTTCCCTCCGATTTTTCTCTTACTCTGCCTCTGTTTCTTTCTTCTTCTCTCCTTTCGCCCTCAAACCTTTGCTTGCAACGACCGAACGAACGTATGTTTCAAAAAATGTGGTTTTCCAACCTACTTTGAATCAAACTATGTCTACAAAAAAGACATGTCCTTAAATGTGGGCCTTAATTTGTGAAAACAAAAGTTTTCTACTGTTAACCCATCATTCAGATCGAAAATACATTGTCCATTGTCATTTGATCTGATTGTTTTATTATTCAGCAATATGAAGAAAAAAATTCTCATAACCAGTCATCGGCCTTGAAATAACTTATGTCTTACCATTGTTAGTTAACAACATAAGTCAACAATTTTTTCTTTCATTTTTTTTATTAGTCACCATTACGGATACGATGACAAACTGTCATTGAAATTTAAAAAACCGAGGGAAACCAACAAGTATTCAATATCGGCCAAAATTCATTCAGATCCAACCAAAACCAGTTATCACCAAGAAAATCCTCTTTCAAGAAAACATCAATATTCCCTATTAATGCTTAGATATTAGCAAAATGGCTCAAAGTTGTAGCTCAGTTCCATCTTAAATTGTAAATTTCATAATTCTTACAGTTCAGTCTTGATTACTTGGCACTGATGAAAGATTTTTCAACTTACCATTTCATCAATTCCTTAACTTATCAAATAAAAGGGTAAATTAAGCTTAACTCAAAAAACTCTTAAACAGTTGGATTGACAATGAAAAATTCCCTTGCTTGGCAAACAATTGAATTATTGGAACAATTAAAGTTAAAAATAAAATTCAATTCTAACAGTTAAATAAAGAATCCAAAATTTAATTAACTTAACCCAAAAAGTGTAAAAATACAACACAAGATGGCGAAAGTAACGCGTAAAAACCAAAAAACTCGGTAACCACGTAAAATTTTGCTAATTAAAGTTTTAATTATTTAGTGCTTTTCTAATTAATATTTTAATATTAACTCTACATTATAATAACAACTAAGACTCTGGCTATCTAACGATACCACCCTTAAGAGTTTTTATACGATATTAATCATCCAAAAATGACTTCTCAACCTGGTCTACCCAACCACGTGGAAAACATTGGAGCTGTTCTCAAAGATGAACTTGAAAATGTGAAACTTTTCTTCAAGACAACTTTAACTCCTAAAGGTCTCAAAGATAATGAAAACACTATTGATAATAGATTCAACAGTCTAGTGAATATGGTGAACCAACTCATCCTGGCCAAGAGCTTGGAAGCGAGCTTTGCTTCCATAGCCTCAACTCCAGCTTCTCAGCCATCGTATGCTCAAGTCACCAAGAAAAAAGCAGTGTCTCAAATGTTAATAATTGAACCCACTAGGGATAAAACTCTGACTGAAATTGAAAAAGAGGTTAATGGCGTCATCAAGCGAAACCAAGAACTGAAAGTCGAGAATATCATCAAGACTCAGAGATCAGTCAAGGTTATATCCTATGACTCCAAGATCAGGGAAAAGATGACATCTGGCCTGAAAGAAACTCTTGGAGATGAACAATTTAAGATCAATGTTCCTCCTAAAATGTTACCTCAAATATCGTTCTCAGTCCTGAGTGATAACTTTGAAGATGAGAAGTGTTTTGCAAAGAGAAATGGTCTCCAAGAGGAAGGCTGTAAATTTGTTACAAAACTTGATTTTAGTGACTTCAAGGGAAGACAAAAAACTCGTGTTATAGTTCGGCTATCATGTGAAAACCGAAAACTACTTGAATCCTCTGGACGTGTTCACCTTGGATGTCAAAGTGTTCCCTTCCATGATAACTTTTATATAAAGATCTGTGGTACTTGTAACAGAACTGGTCACACCACCAGATTCTGTAACAATAAAGAATCTCAGTGTTCAAAATGTCCGATTAATAAACCGCATGAGAAATGCTGTCCTCCTGATGATAAATCATGCAAACTTTGTCTAAATGCTGGAATCACAAAACCTTTTCACAAAATGAAATCTTCGCATTGTACGGTCTACAACAATGAGGTCAATAGGATTATTGCCTCAATTGATTATGATTACAAATTTTAATTATATGCCAGTTATTGCCTCAAAAAATTGTAATAACGCTTATGTCAAAACCAGCGATTTTATCGACACTTACTCTGATGCTGATGCTCTTCTAATACAAGAAGTCCACTACCTCACTGCTGTATCTTGCATTCCCAATGATCGTACCATCATTGCCAATGGCAGAAGTGCAACTATCATCTATACCAACGATCTCATCTCTTCTCTTCGCATTGGAACTGAGAGTATCATCACTCGAGTGAACCTTAATGGATCCCCTACAACTCTCGTTAATTTATATCTCAGCCCAAGTCTCTCTGAACAAGATTTTGAACATGAAGTTAATATCATAATAAGAGCACTCTCTGGCTTCAGACAATCTCCCATTATCTTAATGGGTGATGCTAATTCCACGCATCCATCATGGTCTTTTATCATCAATGATCATAATCATCAGAAGGGACTTTACCTCCACTCGAGATTGGTTGAAACAGGCCTGTCCTGTCTCATCACTCCTTCACCTGACAATTTTACCTTTACCTCTCATCAAGGAAATCACTCGTGGCTTGATACTGTCTTTAGTAATATCAAAACTACCCATTCGAAACCCAAAACTCATATATTTGTGGACTCCGACAATAATGATCATCGCGGTATAACTCTAAAGTATAAACATGGTAGATCTCTACACAATAGAAAACATCGTAAAATCCTTGATTATAAAAATTATTTTAATGCCGTCAATGATCTTATCAAATCACAGCCTGATCCAACCTCCTTTACTGATTCTACAGACTTAGATAAATCCCTGTTAACCCTAAACAAAACTTTTGCTGAAAGCATCAAAACTTTCACCAAAACAATCAAGATAACGTCACCTCTAAAACCTGACAATGAACATCATCATCTTATTAAGATCCTTAAATCCCTCAAACTTGCGATCACCATCTCGCCTGATAAAGAAACTCTTGGATGTCTTATTAAATCCATCAAAAAAGAATTCTACAACAAACTTAAAGACAAACTCAGTGACACCTTTGATCTAGCTAATGATAGCAGAAATACTTGGTCCAAGATTAAGAAGTTATTAAAATCTAAAAATGAAGTTAAAGACTCCTTTGACTCCAACGTTAAAGATTTCTTAAAAGACTTCTCATCTGATCTCATACCAGATAATCCATCAATAAGAATTACCCTTCGCAAGCCTGATAACCAAATTATCTCCTTCATGGAAATTCTTAATATAGCTAAACAAGTTAACAATTCTGCCCCTGGACCAGACTGGCTTAAGAAATCTACCGCCATCGATCTGATTAATCTCAATGAACTCTTTTTCACAAACTTATACAACACTTTGATTTTCAATAGCTACTTTCCCTTCGCCTGGAAGATCTCGAGAGGCACTCTTATCCCGAAAAATGACGGTGAACGTCCTCGACTTATTCAATGCACTGGTGTTTTCAGTAAAATTCTGGAAATCTACATTAATAACATCATTGACAAACATTATCACATTGACAAATATATTAATCAACATGCCTATTTAAAAGGTCGTTCCATTGCCACCTGTCTCCTATCCATTTTAGATGAACCTTATAAATCTCACCCGACCATCATACAATCGGATGTAATAGGAGCCTTTGACAACATCAAACAATCTTCCTTTGTCAAAGAGCTACAACCTCTACTTCCGAATCACATTCTCAGACTGATGATCTGTTTCCTATTAGATCGACACTGCGTCATTATACACAATAACAAAACCTGGGCACAAAAAATCAAGAACGGTATTGCTGTCCCTCAAGGCAGCATATTAGGTCCTAAACTTTTTATCATTGGCCTCAACTCTACTATGAGAATTATCTCACAGCAACTCGCTCAAATTAAACCAGCCTGGACCTACTCCTACAAAAATGTTAGAGACTTTTTCAGACTCGCTATCTATGCCGATGATCTATTCATTACCATTAAGCCACTCTCTGGTTATACACTTGCTAATAATGACCAACACTGCCAAAACATCAGTTACCTTATTAATTCTGCAATGAACATCATCAACAAAAACCTCTCTGATATTGGACTCAGTGTTTCTGGGTCTAAATCGAAGATTCTATCATCACCCTCCACTGTAAATATCATTAACTCAATTACCAGAATTACTGCCTCTAATCAAGGTAACTTTCTGGGTCTCCCAATTGTTCTTGTACCGCATCCTAAAGTATGTATCAATACTTTGGTAAAGAACGTTGAGGAGTCAGCAAAAAAATACCTCTTCTCAGCCAAACTTCTGAAATCCTTACCTCCTAACATTGTCAAAATCATTATATCATCTCTCATCACCAGTAAAGTCCTCCCCTATTCTGCCATCATTACACCATATCTCCTCAATAATGTCTCTCTCTCTAGAAGATTAGACAAAATTATCATGCATCAATTTAGATCTGTCTTCGGTATAAGACCTAATGCTTGCACATTGGCCTGTTATGCCCTTCTTGGCATTAAGCCTGTCTGGCTACAGATAATTCAATGTGGTGCCAAAACACTGCTTGATCTCTCCATCAACCAACGTTGTCTCGGGAGAAACAAGCTTTATACTGATTATTTTCCCTCAATAAGATCTGACAAACTACTCTGGAATAACTGTCTACAGGCAAAAGCTATTGCTGATGACTTTAATAATAAAATCTGGACTAAAAGGATTGCTAATTCATCCTACACTAACCTCCATCTTATTCTCAAGGAATGGCAATGCCTCAATTCAACTGGAAAAATGAGTAATACCGACTACATGGCCATTGGCTACTACAATTGGATAACTGAAAAAATCACTTGCTCGTGTGGCCTTACAGGACCTGATAATCTGCATTGGTTAGTTCACTGTCCAAAATATGATAGTCTACGGGCCAATCTAACCTTAATTATTCACCTAAAATACAAGGACAAGATAAACATCCCTCTATTATGCTTAAAATCCCCGAAACTTTGTTTTTACCTCACCAGAACTATCTTTAGAAATGAAGTACTTCCGTACATCAAACACCCTAAATAACCTTTTTATCATCTCCATTTGAACTATATATACTTTCCCTGGAACCTCCTATTCATCTTCTTATATTATCACTAATTTTGTAATATTTTCCTACATTTCCATATTGAACCAAACCATTGTATCTCTCCCTCATTAACGGCGCTGGTATAAGCCGTAAGTTGTATTCCCTTTCGATGCAACTGACCCACTCCCCGGAGTATCATGTAACTAACAGAGAGCCATCTATCTAGCCTCAGCGTAAAAACAACCTAAACAAAAATACTATTTTGTAAAAATAGTGTTTAGCCGTAGTTTTAGTTAAAGTAAATTGACATTTTTAAAAGATGATTAAACTATGATGTAGCCCCTTAAATTGTTTCAATTTGACCGTAAGATGACTTTAAAGAAGAGACAATCCATCAACCCTCAAATGGATTAAATCTGTTATTGAATAATCAATGTAAAACTGTTATGTTTTACCATGTTTTTTTGTATCTGTGTCAATTGATCCATCCATCCATAACTGTCAAATAGTGAAAAGAGGCAACAAAAAACCCAGGTAAGTCTTCTTTTAACAAAACAAATTGAACTAATTTTGGTTCATGATTCAATTGAATGAATTAACCGTGTCAGTATTGATAAAAGTATCTTTAGATAGGCATGTAATGTGCATTAGTTTTTCCCTTTATACCCATCATATACAGAGATCATCTTTTTGATACTATTACCTATGAAGATGATCATCATTTTTTCATTAAGTATTTCTGATAATGTTTCTCTGCCTTTTCTTTTTTTCTCTCTTGTAGTCTTTTTATTTCTTTTCTTGTTTTCTTCCTTTTCTTTTTAACTCGTTTTTCTCCTCTTTTACTCTGTTAATCGATTGTTGAGTTGAACGATTTCATTGTAATACACATCACAATGAGTAACCAGATCTTCATCATCTTCTAGTTGCCCTATTAGAGTTGATAGGGAGTCAACCATACATCGTATGTCTTTTCATTCTGTCATCATTCAACCATGTACTTACATGCACACACACATCCACATAGATGTAAAAGATACCTATTGTTACCCAAAGAAAAAGTAAAAGCCAACAGAAGAACAAGAAAAACAAGAAGAAAAATGGTGAAAAAGAGGAAGAGATTTCTTAAGAAATCGCTTTTCCTTTCCTTTTCAAAGTATCTTGCTCTTACTAAAACAGATACAGTTACAGTTTTGACCATAAAACTCAAAGATTCAGTGTAAATAATGCATGAAACTCCCAAGCAAGCAAGAAGACAGTCGGTTGGCCCTAAACCCAGCTTATTTGCCTTCCATTCACAGCTTTTCATTCACTCAACCTGTCCATTCAATATTTATATTTACAGGGTTATTCACTTTCTAGACTAACATTTGACAATCTTAACTCTGAGCCCACAAAAAAAAGGTCAATACTTAATGCATGTAATAGACCATAGATTGATGAGTTACACTTTCAACTCTCTATCTCATTGAATCCATCATTTACAGTCATTTGAATCGCTTTTGCATCTAATTAACCATTAACTCCTTCAAACCTTAAACCATTTAACCCTGTGTGTACACAATAATGCATATCACATTCACAAGAATTGAGAAGAAATTCTGTTAGACCGGAACAGCAAAAGTTCAACTTGAGGCAAACATTAAGGTTCAGTTGATCTTATTGTTGGTGAAAACCAAAGACGAATCCATTCACATGATGATAACCATGATGAAAGAAGTGAAACTAACACAGATATTCTAATGGTCATAGACAAACCTAAACGATTACAATTCAATTGGAAGAAAGGAATTGATTGGTAAATATCCATGAAGTTATCTTCTTATTCTTATCTTTATTCATTCAATTCTGTTCTTCACTGATTTACTATTTGTATCAATCACTTTTTCCAACATCAGAATAATGTCTTTCCTTTACTGATAATGTGGTAATGATCTTTCCATTGGAATCATTTTTCTTTCACTAAATTGTTATTGCAACTTTACTGTCAATGACAATTGTCATACAATGAATAATAGTTTGATGATGATGACGCTCATCCTGATGATCAACATCATGATCAGTTACATGATTCGTGTTGATTCAGTTTCCCTCTTTTTTTCAACTTTGTTTATTCGTTGATCGCAATAATACTTTCATAATCATTATCAAAGTTATGTTCAAACAAGCGGCAAAATAATCAACAATAACTAGGCAATATGATACAAGATGATTATTACGATGAACCAGTCATTGAATTTCATCAGTTCCTTCATTGACTCAACTAATGGTAAATTATCGATAAATGTTGATTTTTTGAGTGAAAACACTTGCAGATAATCACTGGTTACCATTAACTTGGTTCACTATTAACATCTGTTTTCCCAGCTTTGGGTTATTGACTAAACTTGACTAGACTTTTGTTCATTTTTAGCCTCATTTTGCATTATTATTGTGACAAGAAATTGATTGAACCTAAAAACACTGCTTTTATTATATTGATTATAATGTTCATTAACTGTTGAATTTGATTTATTCCTGATTGAACCTTTTCTCACTTGAATTACATTTGAAGCACACGTTTAGTTTGTGACGCTTCATGATTTACAATTACAGTGATTCAACTGATTGTAATGGTTTCATCGGAATAAAGCGCTTTCTCATTTTTGTCATCACTTTAATCATTTGATAACAGTTGATGATGATGAATCAACCAAGTCAACACGTAATGAAGATTATTGATTATGTTTACCTTTTTGTTGCCTTTGATAAGTTTTTTTAATGCAATGTTAGCAAAACAACAAAAAAATATATCTTGACAACCTTTACCCAGCGGCTCTTAGGCAAGAAATAAAATAACAAGAAAACCTGGCAAAAAAGATGCTGAGTAAATGATGATGATGGTGATAAGGTAAAAATTGAACCAGACAAAATTAGAGTTGTAATTCACTTTCAATTCATCATGTGAATGAGATAAAAAAAGATGCACAATAACGCAAAGAGTTGAGATTAAGGCTCGTATTCATCAACTGAAACCAAAATTTTGAATCAACTTATTCTTGCATCAAATTAATTTTTTGTTTCACCAAACTTGGTTAATTTGTCCAAAAATCAACAAAACATTGATTAAATTTTACTAACTTGGATCAATTGGAACTAGATTTTACGGCAATAAATTAAGAAAGGAGTAAAGGCCAAAAATTTGACTTTCGAGTTAAGAGTTTGGACTTTGTGAGCTTGTAGAGGCATAAAATTGATTTCATTAGTGCTATTAAAGGATTTCTGGATCGACAGTTTTCTAGAAAATCGAGTCCAAAGTTGAAACTTCGATTGCTTTTTGGTCAATTATGGAAACAGATTTTTTTATGAAACTCATTTCTGATGAGTAACCAGAAGATGCACTTATTTCGGTAAATAAAATTTTCTGTTTCTGTACAAGAGTCCACTTCGATTTACGGAAAAGTTATTCATAAACATTCATGACTGAATGCCGAAGAAAATGATTTATAGTGATAATATATATATATACCTTAAGATATTTATAATGATAGTGATTTAATAATGAATATCTTAAGATTGAACACATCATAAGATTTGTGTTTGAGTAACTATTAAACTTTATAAGTCGAGAATCGCTTTTTACCAATTAATAATGGCTTATCCTGTATCAGTCTTGAGTCAAGATCAACTCTTGATCTTGTTTTGTGAAACAAAAAACTCGAATCAGTTAATTTGATCCTAGAATCAGACTCGATCGCATTCGTTGAATACAGGCCTAGGAAACAAAAAATACATGCATTCAGACTGTGAGTCAATTGAAAAGGTTTGAAAGAAGTTGAAAGATAAATAAGTTAGACTGAAACTGATGGCTTACAGAGTTTCATCATGACAATTTGGACGATCAAAAGATTTTGCGTTTTCTCCAAGATTTTGTCTCATTTTGTTGCTATAACCTTTTACCTCTTTCACTTGCAGGTAAAGATGATGAGATGAAAAGGTTGAGAGATTTCATTTCTGTTTAAGGATGAAGAAGAAGAAGAAGCAAAAAAGGAAAGTTTGTTGGGCTTGAAAATTGAGAAGAGAAATGTTTGTGGATCAATTGAGAGTTTATATTTCAAATCCAAAGTATTTTTCAACCTTTTCTTACCCAAAAGTAACGATAATAATAACAATGCTTTACCTTAACTTTTCTTTTATTGTTCATCCTTATATCTTCATCTCTTCATCTCTTCATCATCATTTCTAATGCTCTATCGATGTCATGTTTCTCTTTGTTGATGTTCGTCTACACTCGACTCTAGATATAAACATAGGGTGAAAATACAGATGAATGGTGAGGTTGGAAGGAGCAACATTTGAAATAATATTAATAATAGTAATAATATTAGGAAGAGATGATGATGAAGAAAAGATTTAAAGATGAGGAAAAGATGTAAGCCAAAAAGGTTGCTGAATCTCTCCTTTTTTTATGGGATTTAAGCATCACCAATGGACATAAATTACTTTGGCTTTAGGATCACTTTTTTTATCAATCTTTACCTTTTCCTCATGCACAGTGTATCTTATCACACTAACCCGTTATTGTCTTGCATTATTACATTTACAGAATAAAATTGTTACAATAATAATAATAATAGTTTGAGTGAAAATATTATTACCAATATTTTGACTTTACCTTTGTATTTTTATGATATTTTATCTTCTCTTTTCTTCTTCTTCTTTTACATTTTCTTCTCGCTCTTTTTTGGTCAACATTTAAATGAATGATTCTGTTTACTATTAATACTCTTGACAATAGCAATTGATCCTTTTCTTGATGTTATTTTTCATCATAATCTATCATTTCTATTCTCAACACCCAATGAATAAACAACGGACAAAAAAATGGATTTACTTTGCATCATCAATCTATTAATAATGATTTGCATGTGATTCAATCAAATCTAATAACATTGCATTGTAAACAATTTCCATCAACTTTATTCCTACAGAAAGATGGTGTAATATCATTAATATCACAGTTATTCAGATTACTGGGAATCAATTTCCGTTCATTTTGCCGAGTCCAATGTGACTTCAGTCTGGTCAAACCTTGGGTCACCTTGTTTAATTATTTTGCATCATTATTTGACAAGTTGTCAGTTGAATCCTTGTTGACAGGGTTAATCAATTTAAGTTGATAATAATCGTTTGGATTTTGCTTTTATTTAGGCTTCAAATTTTATGCACATCGAAAGTCGATTGATTTTCTCAAAAATATCTCTAAATTTAATGAAATCGGATGATGATTTTTATGTTATTTTTGCATGGATAGACTTTTCCATTTTCAAAAATTTTACTAATGCAACTTATCAATAATGGTTCATATCATTTGCTTATTTTACATCGTTATTGATGAACGAAATTAAATTTGCAATTGATTCAGTTTTTCATTGGAATTATTTGGTCCTTATAAGGTTCACCTTTAACTTGTATTCATTGATACTGTTGATAAAACCTGCATGAATGAGTGTAAAAACTGAGAGATAAGTTGAGTTCCTTTTTTGACAATTCAATGCTTCAAAATTTTGACGATGATCGATTTTGAAGAATTACTTGATGTAAAACTTCAATTGTAACAAATTGCATCCTTGTCTAGTAACTGAATCTTTGTTATGCCTTTTGATTACTGTAAAGTACCAGATAATGTCACTAAACTAATCAATGGTTCCTCAACCCCTTTGTTTACATGTGGTATAAAAAAATTATTTCGATTAATTAAACATTTTTACTTTTTGAATATCGCTTGCTGTGTACATAAGTTACCGGCAGGGACATTTTCTGGTACTTTAAAGTAGTCTAATGTAATGTCGATGAAAGGTTTTTGTTTGTCATTCAAAAGAAATCAGTTCGATCAAAGATTCTTTGCCTTTTCGGCCACTTTTCTTTAAAAGCCAATGAAGCCAATTTTAGCATTTTAACGCACTTGCAGTTGTCCACCAGAACGGTATAAGTTTACAACGAAATAAAAAATATTCCAAAAAATTTGCTGACACTTATTTCGGTTGAATTTGAAGATCGTCTAAAAGCGATGATGAAACAAAAGTCATTTTTAACACTTTTATCATTAATCTATGCTCAAAGAGATCTGTATACTTATCGCAAGATGATACTCGTTACACAGATTCAGGCCTTTACTTTTTAACCTTTTAACTTGAAATGCCAAGTTGTAATAACAGTTAACTCTTGAAAGATTGAATTGAATGAAAGGCCGAACCATTAGCCTGGAATCTACAGTTCTGTTTCATGAATTGATTATCTTTTCTTTAGAAAAGGTAAAATGATTGGAAATAATAATTCAGCTTGGAATAAATCAATCAATAATATCCATTAAAAATTATCTTATACCTTGACTCTTGTCAATTTCACCAGGTTGTTAGATTAAATCTTGATAATTATCAATAAACTTATCAAAAAACTGATGATTCTTGCTCGTCTAATCGTAATCAGTTTATCTGATTCTTGATTGAAAATACTACTCAATGATACAACATATCGACTTGAGAAATGACGAAAGTCTAAATGTTATTTAATCCAAAAGTTATTTTCCATGTTCAATGATTACGTTGTAACTTTCTTTCATTATGCATCCTTTATTACCTTTAACATCATCTGATTATCAGCATCATCATCATTAACTCATCTTTACCTGTAAACATGTGTGAAAATTATCACAAAAAAACTGGTTCCTCAGCATCAATTGATGTCATTTGATCGATCAGACCCAAGATAATCAACAGCAAGAAAAAAAAGTCTTATAAATATATTAAATTGATGCTTGAGATGAAGATGATGCTAATGTTTTATCTAAAAAAAGAAAAGATGAAACATTCTTTTTGCTACTCAATTTTTGATTCTCAATGAATTGATGGATTCAAAGAAACTTGAAATCTTTAAGCAACTCTTTTAATCTAATATATTATTCAATCAATTTTTACTTGATTATATTAAGTCAGGTCAATTCTTGCTCTTTCACTCACTGAATCCATCAATCTTTTCAAATCAGGTTAACACTGATAATAACTTGTTCACCATATTATTCAAAAAGTACTTTTATCAGGAAAAAGGTAGAAAAATCGACTCATCTTTTCAAATTCTGTCATGTTGAACAATAATCATTTTTACACAATTCAAATATCTTGTAAAATTCAATAATTTATGGTCTATCATTCAAGAAAAAAATGAACTAAAAATTGCATTCAATAGAAGCTTAAAGTCAAGTTCAATTTGAATTGCAAAGAAAGTTAAAAAAAGTGTTTTTCATTGAAAAAAATTGAAACAGTTTTAATTGTTATTCCAGATTATTGCCAACAATTTTGATTTCAACATTTGATTTGTCAGTGCCTTTGGCTACAAGGTGAGTAAACAAAGTTTATTAAATTTATCTTGAATCAGCTGAAAAGTTCACATGAAACCGGAACAGAACGAGAAGAAAAAGTTTTCTCAATTTAACTTGACCATTCAACTCTATGGATACAAAATTTATATTGAAAATTTCCGTTTTTTCAATTTTCTCAATCTTTCAATAACTTTGAATATCAATTTTCTGGTTAAATATTTTTTTAGGTTGAGTGAAACCGAAATAGATTTTCATGAAATCTTAAATTCTGAAGCTAACAGCAAATGAAATTAGTCAAGAAATTTGTTTATTTCCAACTAATTTTCAATGTTTATCCTGAAAATATAAATATTCAAATGTTGAGAAGTGATGAAAAAATTGAATGAAATGTACGATTCTTACAATTGATTTTGCCTTTCTTTGTGTTTCAAATTAGTGTTTCATAAAATCATAAAACATCACATTTTGTGCTTTTTTGGTGCTTTGAGATGAAATTTTGTTCATTTTTTGTTCATTTCAACCCTTTAAGGTAAACCAGGACAAATCAGAGATTCATCATGTTGATCATAAATTAGTATCATTAAAGGGTTCTGTTTCCCTTGCATGGCAATACACTTGAAACAAAAGATAACTTGATAATTGTGATGAATGAGTTGAGCAAATTTCTGATTAACATTTAGAGTAGCTTAATTTGATTTTTCATTCTCTTCCCTGGTTTAAATTTTAAATTGATGTTGTTTCTCTAATCAAATTAAATTAACAATTATCATTTATGAAACTTGCAAGTTTGTTGGTCAACAAAAATGTGCTTTAATTTACTCAAAACCCGTTGAGAATTGAACTTGAAATTAACTTTCAACTTTTCAGTTTGTTGACCCAATGAATAGAAATGATAAACTTGAGTTCATTTTGACTAAACACAGAAATGTATCTGAAAATGAATCGGAAACACAATAAAGTTTATCAAAGAAAAGTCTTTTTGAGATAATTTCTCAAACGTTTCAATGTTTTTCATTGTGAGTTTCATTAATCAATTCACGTTTAATCCTGAAAATAAACGCAATCTTAATCCTGCTAATGGTTCAGGTTTACACCAATTTCATGGTAATCAGTGAAACAAGATGGATTAACATTTTGTTAACTGACCAAACAAGCTTAAACATGGTTTGATTGTAGCAATTGATAATCGCTAGTAACAACAAAATGTTGGTTAACTTGATTAAGTAAATGATTGTGATTATATCGATGGCGATAAAGAAACCAGAAAAATGTTAACATTAATGATGAAGCAAAAGGTCTGAATATTATTCAGAAAAATCTTCTCAATTTAAAGGGATAAAAATACTGACCAAACAAGAGTTGATACTGGCAAGAGAAACGTTAAACTTGAAAATTGGGTTTTCTGGTTATGTTAGACTCTGCGAGATGGAGAAAGATAAATGACCTGTTAACCCAAATTATAATATAATTTCAATAGTCTATCAAATAATCTGTATCTATTAGAAAGGTATCGCCTTGATTTGGACCCTTCAAAATATCATCTTCAAGATCCTTTAACTATTTACCAAAGTAATAGTCAACAGCAAAAAGAGCCCTCTTCTTGATCCGCATCATTATAATCCTCTTCATCATTTTCACCATTTTTCATCATCATTATCTCTTTTCCCTCTTCTAATTTATTACATTTGTCTTGACGTGTGTCTCTTGACCGTATCATTTGATAATGATATTAACTTTAATTTTAACCCTCTATTACAAGACAATTTATCACTAAAATTAACCAAATTTGCAATTAACGAAAAATGTTCAACAAACGAACCAAAAAATAAACTCAAATTTTCTCGATTGTTTATCCTTCAGCTGTACAACAATCAACAATACCAATTGTTGAATAACAATTGGATTCAACAAAACCAAGCCAATATTCAGACTACATTCAAGCAAAATTGACCACTTTGGGCACTATTTTATCATTTGTGACTTTAAGATTTGATTGTAATAAGAATTTGCTTTTTTTGCTTCGAACTTTTTTTTCTTGAAAAATCCAGACAAAGCAAAGATCGATGGCAATCTGAGGTTGACTAACATTGATGCATTTACTTCGAGCAAATTTGTCCATAAAGTTATTCGATCTTTTGTCTTATTTGAACAAATAACATTTTAAAACGTGAGTTCGAGCTGAATCAGATTACTTGACTTTGGAGTGACTTCAATTCAGTGAATTCATTGACACTTCAATTTCATAATTGACAGGAATCTGGTTATTGCTAGAAATCATTTTAGTTTTTTTTGTTAAACATTTAGTGAAAAATCAATTGAAAAGCAATTCAATTAGCTATTAAAGCTATTATAGTTAATGGTCAAGCAGAGGATTGACACTCAATTTAGATTTTTACACATTTCTTAATGTTGATGGTAAGCTGTTTGGCGATGATATTAAGTTAATTCACTGGTCAAAACGATTAAATTAAGAATCTTAAGTTACATTTACTGAAGCCAGGTCTTAGCTCATGAAACAAGTCTGTTTACTTTGCATTATTATTGCCACAAGAAATTGGTTAAACTTGCAGTAATTTCAGTGACCACTTTGATGATTAAAGTTCATTTGTTCACATGAGCCACACTCGCTCATTTATCACACCTTAATCTGAACCGTGCAGCCATTTTACCGGATCATTAAGGAAACTTGAATTTTAAAATTGAAAATAATACAATTGAAATGAGACTTGAAAAAATAAAAGACAAAATCCATTGACTTTGAACGGTACAAAGCAAATATTAATGACAATCAAGTATTCCATTAATTAACTTGAAATAATTAAGTTGATATCATTTTGGTTGATCACATTTTCAACTGTAAAAACACATTAATCAAATACAGTTAATAACGAAATGATTTATACAATAATATGATAATAACATTTGTTACCTTGATAGAAAGAAAGACAAGGATGGAGACCAAAATAACAGGGTGAACTGCCTAGTAAGGAACTTTTTTCATGAACATGATGTAAAGGACAGAGGGACAACTGTTCATTGATTGTATCAATCATCACTCTTTACAATCTATTTTCATCTACTTATGAATTTATCATGAAAGTTACTCAATTTATATCATTCATGATCTACTTTTACCTCATGTACATTCTGATTAATCGGACATTTACTTTTTATCATATCTAATAATTAGAATGTTAATAGTTGTTATGATAAATTTCAATATTATTATTCATTGAGCTTGTGAACAACAGTCGAGTGAGAAGTGGAAAGAAACAAAAGATGAAGGCCAAAACTGCCCAACAAGAAATTTTTTGTTATGAACATGATGGGTGCAAAATTTTATACTGAATTCATTGATCTAATCTACTTTTGCAAATAACGTTGAGATTCTAGAGATTGATATGAAAAAGCGTTGCAAATCATGGGAACGCGTATACCAATTTAAAACATTGAGTTTATCGACATCAAGAGCATTAAAGATGCAGTTCAATCTGCAAAAGTCCGTAGATCAAGTCCTAGGTCTGTAGCATTAACCGTTCGTGAGTTTGCCTGCAAAAAGGCGTAAAATGAAAAAAACACCAGTTATAACGAGGTTGCGAGAGTATGTGATTTAGTGTGATTACTCGCGATCTGCTTAATTGACTGCAATGGGGCAGTTTTGTATGATCAAAATAAATGACTTCATGGAAATCAGCATTGAATTTTGCATCTAAAAAATCTATAACGGTTTTTTTCGCCGAATTTCTAGTCAGACAGTTTTTGCCTTAATCTTTTGTTTCTTTCCACTTCTCACTCGACTCTTGTTCACAAGCTCAATGAATAATAATATTGAAATTTATCATAACAACTATTAACATTCTAATTATTAGATATGATAAAAAGTAAATGTCCGATTAATCAGAATGTACATGAGGTAAAAGTAGATCATGAATGGTATAAATTGAGTAACTTTCATGATAAATTCATAAGTAGATGAAAATAGATTGTAAAGAGTGATGATTGATACAATCAATGAACAGTTGTACCTTTTTTTCCTTGTCGACTTTGCAGGAACCCAAAAAAGTATAAACCTTTAACAACATTATTCAATCAGGATAAACATGGAATAAAATTGTTCAATAATAATCTGGATAATAATTCAGACTTGTTTTTGTTTTTTTAATGAAGTCACAAAAAGTTGAACCAACCATAGCTTGTAAAATGTAAAAAGAGATTCAGATAATGAAGATAATCTGAAAGTGTAACTGAATCATCAACTTGAACTTGATTCAATTTTTTTGTATAGACAGACTTGTTATTGATAACATTTTCCCATTTATCATTTCTTGTTCCCAATTCAATCTTATTCATCTTCTTTTCATCCTTTCCTTAGCTTCTTCTTCTAGTTTTAAAACTCGTTTCATCATTCATTGGTTTCATTCATGTTATACAAATGAAACCAGGTAGTTGATGGAAGTGAACAAAAAGTTGATATTTCCAGAGTTTTAATGAGCATCATTGTCATGTAACAGAATAGCTAACCTGCTTTGTCTGATAAACATGTTAACCAGAATAACAAAAAGCAAAATCATTTCCATCATTCGAAGCTTTTTACATCTCTTTTAGATTCCTCTTTACTCGATGATTTTTAGACTGTTCAGGGTTCGTCCAGACTCATGATTAGATTGTAAAAGTTGAACAGAAAATGAAATAAATATAAAAAAAGGTGTTGACCATTCAATCCCAATATTTAATCTTGGGTCATTCCTTTAAATTGGCAACATCATTTGTCATTTGCTCTGTTGATCTTAGTTGATTGTTGTGAGATGTTCAAGTTAACCTGAGTTTGGCTTGAAATCAGGAGAAAACGGGCAAAAAAAGAGTTGATATATTTGTATCTAGATTGTAATCGATGCTAAAAGTAAAAGTTGTGAGAAAAATGTTGATATTAAGAAATGATGATGAGAGTAGAGGGTGATGATGGTGAGATGAGGAAAAGAAAAATAAGGTGAAAATGAGGTGAAAATGTTGCTATTCTGTTATTGTAGTTGTTGTACACCAATCGCCATGAGAATTGTTGGCAACACAAAAATTTTTCTCGCAACTAAAGCTATCAATCTTTACTCATTTTATTGGAATGACCAAAGCTTATTTACTTCTGCAACCATTTCAACTATAAAATGTGATTGACGATTAATCATCCATGGGACTAGTTTTGTTTTCACCAATCATTCCGATTCCTTTGCCCATTCCTTAACAATCATTGAATCATTTAAGTCTCCTTCAATAAGTGAACAAATGATGAACTTATATTCAACTTGAACAGTTAAACCCAATATTTGGGAATCAATTTTTAACTCAACAGCAAAGCAAAAACCTTTGCGTGTAAACTTGATTTCAATAATGATGAACAATCGCGATCTTTATTGTTGTTGCCTCTAAACTGTGCCAAAGATGAAGACATTTATTGTTTCAAAGTTTATCTTGCAAATCAAGCAATTGCGATAATCATTATAATCATTGTTACCTGAAAACAAAGATTTTGTACAAAACTTGATTCGCTCGGTTCATGTTTATTAATTCATTGCATTTTAATTGTTGAATGCACAATATTTGGTTAAATAAAGGTTCAATTGAAAAGGCAGGTTTGCTCACAACAAAATGCTTGGAAAGCTGTGATTATGATTGTTGTAACGAAAGGATAAAAAAGGATTGAAATAAGGTTAGCCTGGTTTCACTTGTCTTGGCGCTTTGAATCCTCTTATCAACAGTAAAAGCAAGTTTCTTTGTCATCCTTTTCATCATTCAACTTGTATAATTGTGCCTTAAAGGTATCATCTTTGCATGTTTGGTCAAAACTTGTAACGGGTTTATGCAGACGGAAGTTGACCTTTTTTGGCTCACATTAGAAGGTCACTAAAACTGAGAAAAAAAGAAAAGTTATTTTCGTTGTTAGGTTAAAATGAAGGTAAAGAAGCAAAGTCAAGATGAGCAAAAATAGCCGAAAAAAGTTGACTCGTAAAAATGGAAAAGAAAATATTTTGTGAAAAATATTTAAAGATAATGTTAAGGTGATGATGTTTCTGGTGATGCGGAAGATGCTGAAGATGCTAAAGATAAAAGTTGTTTGTCTAATCTAACTTGAAATGCAAGTTGAAGGTTAAATCTGATTTAATCTGTACTTTGCTATTACCTTTGCAAGTTTCGTAAATTGTTAATGATGGAAAATTGTTTTCCTAATATTGATCTATTGATTGATTTGTTGAAAAAAATAAGTAACTTTCATTATCTTTTTCATCTTCATGTTCTTGCCATTACTTACAATTTTTAATCAAAGTTGACCATTGGAAAGGCTCGGATCTCAGTGATTTCAATAGATCAGGATTTTTGCGAATCTTTTTACGAATCATTTTTTCCAACTTAGCTGGATCCGTTTGAACATCGGACGATTTAGACGTTAAATTGATTTGATAGATTAGAGCAGAGACAAGACGGCAAACGACGGTCAACCACATTTCATTATCAATGGCCGCTCCAAGTCCAACAAGATGAGTGATTATGGAAGAAGAGTAAAAGGTAATTACTTGCAATTTAGACGAAGTCAACTCGATTGTCGACCTGTTGTACTCAGTGATCATCTTTTGTGAATCCAAAATGATTGTTGTGATTGCCAGAAAGATGAGGAAATAGCGACCAAATTTGTACCAAGTTGGCGATTTAACTTCACTGATGCATTTACGGGAATAGATTGTTGATGGTGAAGATGATAATGAATCCATTGTCCTATTTACTGTAATTTGTAGTCAACATTGATTGGAAAAAAGCTCTGAACCCTCTCAACTTGTTTCCATATTTTTGTTCATTTCTTTTCACTTTTCAACTCCACCTTAACCCTCACCTTGCCTTGACTCCCGACCACTTGGTAACCATAACAAATGAATAGATCAACAGGCAAAACAATCAACAATTTAAGGTAACTAGATAACAATTGTTGGTGATTTACAATGGTTTCTTAGGCAGGGAGTCGAAGTGCACTTTCCACATTTACCCAAACAACAACAAATCATCAATAATAATAATCTGTCAATTTCATTGATTCTCATGGAATTACAGACTCTTTTAACGCCAATTTTAACCAATCCTGATCTCACCTCAAATCATTCAAATTTAAACTCAATGTTCAATTTAAATTATTGCAATGAAGGCAAAAAATAGACTTGATTAATTGCTTTTTTCACCTTCTTCTCTGTTTGTCAACTTTTCCACTCAATTGTTGTTTAAATCGCATCATTTTGCTGAAAATGAAACCTTACTTTTTCATTCATTTCATTTCCTTTGTAAACTTTCATTCACTACTAATCAGTGAAACAACTTGGGTTAAATGATCTGGTTACTCTGTTTATCTTGAGAATCAAATTTCTCATCCTGTAAAATAATATTTAACTTATCATCATCTTTTTATGTTTACTCTTGTATTTACCTTGTTCCAACAGATTTCAGATGAATCTCATCAAAGTTATCAAGGTAAATGAAAACCATTTACTAGTTTCCCAAACTTCCCTCTGTACATCAATTGAAATGCTTTTTATTCAAATTTTTTACTTGAAATGCAGGAAAAAAAAGTATCAATTGTTGTTTCAATCGATAAACTTGAACCTTCAGTCACTTTGGTCAACATATCATCAGGTTTTTCCAATCATTAATAGACAATAAATGGAAACAAATGTTTCATTTCAACAGTTGATTTGGTTAGTTTGTTGAAACGATTTGCTCGTAAAAAAACTTTATCTGTTTGACTCCAAACTTGAACTCAGTTTGGCATCAAGTTTATCAAAACGAATCTAAGTTTATCTCATTTCCCAGGCTCTAATGTTTCAGCTTTTAATCCATTTTTTGTATTATTATTGTGACAAGAAAACTTTTCAATCGTCAGTTTATTGATCACTGTTAATGAACTAAATGATGATTTAAATTGAACTTTCCTAACTAAAGTAAAGAATGATTAAAAGTGACTTTTAATATTTATCATTGGGTTACTCTGAAGTAATGGTAAATTCATCGATAATGATTAGTGATTTACATTGAAAGCTTTGAAGCAGTTTGTTAAGCAAATTTCATCTGACAAAAAAGCTCAAATCTCATTATATTTAAACAGCCATGAAAAAAACAAGCAAATACAAAAGAAGAAGAAGAAAAGAAAAGATTAAGATGATGAGCTTAATCATCCCGATGATGATGATAAAGGATGTTAAACCTAGTTACTTGGCCCAAGTCACCCCAGGTAGAAGTTTTTTTCCTCCATCTTTCATCTTCTGTCTATTTTCCCTTTGCATGGTTGCATGGACAGATTTTTGGCAACAAAAACAACTATCTTTTCAAGTAAAAAAGGGAAAGTTTGAAGAGAAAGTTTTGAAAAAAGATAAACTTGAAAAGATGAAGATGGAGAGTAAGGTTCATTGATATGTTGTAATGAAATGTATTATTATAGCCAGTTGGTGGAGAGATGAGGCTTTGGCTGATGAGATGAAGAAAAGATGAAGAATGGGAAGAAAGAGAAAAGAGAGAAAAATCTCTTGTTAGGAGGTTGATGATATATTTTTATATTTTTTATCATCAGTTCTCTTCTTCAGCTCATTCAACTTGAAGGTCAACCGGGAATGAACCAGTCCAGTAAAGGTTTTTATTAGCCATTCACGGAACACACACAATGAGTTACAGCAAAAGTGAAACAAAATTGATGAAAAAAGTAACTTTATTTACGGCCATTTTCATCATCTTATTATGTTCAAGTGAAAGTTAATCTGTTAAAATGTTAATATTATTCAGATGAAAATTGAATGTAAATTTCATCTACAAATCAATCCATTAATTATTACAATCGTTCATTTAGCGATTACAGTTTATCATTTGAATAACTGATATTTGTATGGAAATGAACTTCTTCCTTTAGAAACATTTCGAGTTGAAAACTTTTTTTTGATTAAAATTGAACTCTGAATGAAATGAGAAAAGTTCATTATCAAAATGAATAAATTTTCAGGAGAAGGCGAAAAATGCAATCAATTGTATTTTCCATTCATTTCATTATTCTCATAATTATCGATAACTGATAACAAATCAACAAGTTGATGAAATTGAAGTAAAAAGTGAAAAAATGTTAACTTTTATTGAAAATTTCGAGTAAAATGGAAACTTTTGAAACTGAATTTGAAACTCAATGTAACTTGATGAACTAAGATGAACATTTTGAGTAATGAAAAGGAATGGAAAATTAGTTAAATTAATAAATAGTTAATGGTGATTAGTTAATCTGATCCTCTTGGAACTTTGACTAACCATGATTTTGATGAAAACTTGTGCCACAACATGCGCACCATTACCATGAACCTCTTGCACTCTCACTCTACCTGTAAACTCCGCCTCATCTGTTTGGCTCCCTTTAGTTGAAGTGAAATTTTGAAGGTTTCATTCAATGTTGAGGAGCCAGTAACAGCATCCTCATCAGTTGGTGTTTATCAACCGCATAAAGTAACAAAAAAAGTCTCAAAATATTGTTGACCATTTAATGGACTGTAAACCAATTGTTGACCCAAACTGATTTACTGTAACAACCTTAAGTTTGTTTGTTTGACTTTCAATATCTCTCAATCATGTTAACCATCATTCAAATCATCTTTCAGTTGATCACTTGAGCTTGATCAATGTTTACATCAAAACCTTTCTGTTTGTGTTTCCTTAATCTTACCTTAAAGTCATGGTTAAAGTCTCTTTTTAAAAGACTCGTGGATTAAGGTAATTAACATGGATTTGATTGTCTCTGTGAATCTCAAAGTGATGCTAAGTGCTGTAGTTTAATCAATTAATAATTTTCATTGAAAGTTTTTCTTTGTAAAACTTTTTCTCTCATCATTTGCCTTCTCAAGTTTAATCTTAATTCCATTAACATAAATTAGCTTCATCACTCACAAACTCATTATCATCCTCATCAACATCATTCATGTTTCCTCATCTTTTTCATGAAACTTCACAGTTTTCATCCTTTTCAAGTTATCCAAAGACATTGCTAGTAAAAGCTTTACTCAAAACTTGACATCATCTTAATCATCTTCCAGCCACTTGACTTATGAAAAAGATGACCATTTAGTGAAAGTCTTTATCATGAAACTTGGTTGTTCAAAATTCAAGTGTCGTGATGATGACTCGTTCAATAATCATTTAAACCGTTAACCAGTCAATTGATCATTTAATGAGATAACTGGTTGACCAAGTTGAAGTTGAAAATTAATTTCTCATCATTTAGTTTTATCACCTTTGAAGATGATTTGAAAGAGTTTTTATTGTGTGAAAAAAGGTTTAATATCTAATCAGCTGATTCTCATGATTTTCTCAGTTGAACAATTAATTTAATCTTTTATTTGTTTATCGCAGTTTCCAGTGAACGGAATGTACAAACCTCGTCAACTGTGAAAGCAACTTTTAAACTTTCTAATCAAATGGATTATCAAAAGTGACCTTAATCGACGTTCAATGTTTTAATTGTTTCTCTTGAAATTGGAAGCAAATAATTGTCAAAAATGACAATTATCTTGAGCTCATCACAATCAAAGTCATCCTCATCAACCAATACTGACTCATGGTCAAACAGATCAACCAGTGGAACCTCGCCACCCTTAATACCTTCATCTTCACCTTTACCATATTCATGTTCATCTGCAATACCTTCACCACCAGCAATAACAACCAGTACAACCAACCAACGATTAAATTGTGATCATCAATCGCATTTAAACTTAACCAATAACAACAACCATCGCCATGGAAGTAAATTAAAGTGGACTAATCATTCTTTTAAACCGTTAATTGATTATAAATATAGTCAACGTGGACGAAGTCCAGTTTGCGGTAGAATCACTTCAATGGCAATTATACCGAAACGAATGTTAGCCAAAGCCTTCCAGGTAAATTAACCTCTTTTTCCGATTCTCATCTAACTGTAGATAACATGCAAATTTTGCTCCTTTTTTGTTGTTCGTCTTTTTACCATTTTATCGATTTTCAATTGAAATCTTGTCGATATTGAAGGTGAAACTTTGCCCTCTAATAATGGTTCAACTTTTACGATTTCATGGCAACATTGAGCAATAAACTAATCAAATTGTTTTAAGCGTGTCAATTTGTTGTTAGCAGAAATGAAATTCCAGTTTTTCTTGGTTAAACTTATTCATTAGAAATCATTAATCAAACTTTTTTTTCTCTAATAAACATTGTCATATTTTCATGAATGTCGATAACAAATGAGTTATGAAATTATCGACAAAATTTGTCTTTTCAATTATTTTCCATTATTGAGACAAACTTTGTATTTCCACTCATTTGTCATCAAGTAGTGTAAAGTGATTTAAGGTGAAAATTTGTTGAACATTAGATGATTCAGGAAAGAGGATTTGGTTTGTTATCTAAATCTGGTTAGGTTTCCGTTTGGCCAAGACTTTTGGCCTGTTGGTCAACTGTTATATCAGATGGAAGGAAAAGATGCTGTGAATCAGTTTTATAATGAGTAAATTAAGATAATTGAA